AAACAAAACGAAAAACCACCATCTGCTTCTACTTTGGGGAGGTCGCTTGTGCATCACCAGGGAAGGAAGGTAAAAGAGGACACCGATTTTCATTACATTTGTACATTCACATTTAGATAACTAGACCCAAATCGAGAAACAATTGTAATTCAAATGGAAAGTCTGTCTCTCTATACAGAGAAACAAGACTATGGCCAAATGATTGTTGTGCCGACTGGGTCTGCTATCTAGGTAGTAACTGCTTTGATGCAATTTGAGACCCCTGTACCCCCTTCTTAGAGTTCTTTATTTTTTTAAATGAAATCATTTTTATTGGTTTTATAAATCCAAAGTACAAATAAACACAAACTAGTAAAAACATATCTGTATAAAGAGATTATCCAAATCTCGAGACTTTCCCCCATCCCCTCCATGGGGTCTTCTTTTAAACATCTACAACTGCATATTCATCTGTGCTCCTATTTTTATATCAAACCATATTGTCCATAGTAATTTATACACTACAAGTGAATCTAAATCTTGCTCTTGTTTCCATCTGCTTACAGTGGTCTAGAGTTCTTGATCTTTAAACAGGACTTGGACCAGACAGCCCTTCACACAGAGACTGTTCTCTGATAATCTGTCAAGGGTTTGTCTCTTGCGAAGCAGGAGAAATGGCCAACCTACTCTAATTTTCATTTTAATCATCAGTGTATGCTTGAGATTCCAGGCTATCATTTCCACACTCCAGGAGGTTTCATTTCTCCATCAGCTCCTTTCCGCTGTTCTATTTAAGGAAAATTTACTTTCACATACACAAAGCTACCAGCTCATTGTTGTCTGGCAAGACTGTCCTATCGGTAAAAACCCAAATAACAAATCCATCCTTTGTGCCGCTACAATAGACTTGTCATCTAGTTTCACAGCTGATTAGCTCTTTAGCAAAAGATGTCAGGAGTCATAGGTCACCCAATAGCTGATTCTGCTAAATTGACCATAAATATATCCTTCCATTTGCATTCAGTTTCCAGAGGCCACTAACTGATGCCTTCTCAATGAGTGGTGGATGTTTTGATTAGTTCCACAGGCATGAGAGGGGAAATTGCATTGTGCTTCAAGCTGATAATTCGCCATATTTTTCCCCCACTGCAGAAGCACGCAAGCATTTTTGTGTATAAAGCACTCTGAAAACAGCCTTTCTTTGACTACGGAATTTCTGTATTCCTCTTTTAAAAGCTTAGCGGCTATGTACTAGACAAAAACAAGTGGAGGCTGCAACAAAATGTTGCAGTGTAGAGTGTTCTGTTTTGGTGTTTCAGTCAGCTTGTCCACCATTCACAATTCTCCATTCCATTCTGCCCAGTTTTGTTGGATATAGACAAGCTTGCATCCTTCAGGTCAGTAGAGTGCAGGGTTGAGACAGATAGGTTGGGGAAATACATTTTGTGGTTTCCCACTAAACACCTAGGTTCTGCCCCTTCCTCCTGCTGCCTGCCTGCCTGTCTGCCTGCCTGTCTGTCCACCCTTTCCTTCTGCACAAAGCAGCCATGAAAACCTCTCACAATGTAGACTTAGAATCCAGGCATGTAAGAGGCATTATCAGATTTCCAGGACATATTCCAGCTAGGCAAAAACAATCAAGGTGCAGAGCAGAGACACTGAAGCGTGGGTTTACCTGAGGAGAAGGGGTGTGGTTTGGGGGAGAGGGCCAGACAGACTGCTCACATCTGCAAGGCAGACAGAAATCCAACAGGTGAGGTTTCCATCTCTGTGCTGGTGGAAACTGCACCAGCTGAATTTCTGCCCATCACTCAACTTGTTAAAAGCTGTCAGGAAAAAGAAGGGGGCATCCATATTTGTTATTTACCTCACCGTCCCCCCCCCCCGTCCCCCGAGCTAACATTCAACTTTGGTGTATCATGTTGAGAAGGAAAACAACCCTCTCCGTTGACTCAGGGGGAGCCGATAAGTCTGTGAAGCTGGTAGCTTGCATTCTGTTTCCACAAGCTGCTGTGTGTGTGCAGAAGTTTTCATTTAATCAAATGTTGCTGTCATCTCCAAAAGCCCCAGCTGCAGCTGGGGCCCAGCGACGAACCAGGCTCTCCTGGGAGGCTTTTACTGATGTTGTGTACTCCAGTGGAAACATCAGAAATGCATCTGGGTCGTTTGCCAAGGTGCCGTACCTGGAATTTTCTCGGAGCAATATGGAGGCATGAACTGCGGAGAATGAAGAAACACAGGAAGAGGGATGCACTGGACTAAACATGCACCTCTCGGGGAATTCTAGCTAGCGGCAAATAAATTGCAAACACCCGCTTCCTGCTAATGAAAAATTAGTATGAGACCGTGAAATGACAGGGCGAGGGGAAGGAGCGTAAAGAAAGTACGAGCACTGCAATGCTATGCGGCAGGAAGCAGGAACCCACAGCCCTTCAGAGGCTGTTAGACTCCAAATCCCATCAGCTCCAATTAGCACAGCCAATGGTCATGGATGATGGGAGCTATCATGTCACATCAGATTCCCCATTCCTGCTATATAGGGGGGAAACTGGGGAGGCAACCCTTGTACAGTGGGCATTAGTTACACAACAGAGTTAAACCAGTTTCAAACTGGTTTATTTATTTATTAGTTATTTATTGAATTCATACACTGCCCATTATAGATCGCAGGGTGGTTCACAGCATAAAAATATACAAAATGGAAACACAAAATACCGTATTTTTTGCTCTATAAGACTCACTTTTTCCCTCCTAAAAAGTAAGGGGAAATGTGTGCGCGCCTTATGGAGTGAATGCAGGCTGCGCAGCTATTCCAGAAGCTAGAACCGCAAGAGGGATTGCTGCTTTCACTGCGCAGCGATCCCTCTTGCTGTTCTGGCTTCTGAGATTCAGAATATTTTTTTTCTTGTTTTCCTCCTCCAAAAATTAGGTGCGTCTTGTGGTCTGGTGCATCATATAGAGCGAAAAATACGGTATGTAAGAAAACATAAGCTAAGCGAACCAACAACCCCTCCTCCCGCAAACACATTTTAAAGGACATGGAACGTTAATCAGCCAAGGAGGAAAGTTTTCCCTAAAGATATGCAATGAAGGTGCCAGGCCAGGTGAGCCTTCCTTGGGAGAGCGTTCCACAAACGGGGACCCACCACCGAAAAGGCCCATTCTCATGTTGCTGCCCTCTAGACGTCTTGTGGAGATGCAAATGAAGAAGGGCCTCGAATGATGATCATAGGATCCAGGGTCTGAGGTTCAGACCCCAGATCTTATGTTGACAGGCGGGTGAGAAATCAGATAGATAGACAGATATGATTATTTGCATGTATCCAATGTTAGAGCTGGAAGGGACTTGGAAAGTAATCTGGTTTTGAACAGTGACGTCTCTCTATTTGTCGGGTTTAACCTGCTTTGCATTGATGCCCTCATTTTCAATAATAATAATAATAATAATTTATTATTTATACCCTGCCCATCTGGCTGGGTCCCCCCAGCCACTCTGGGCAGCTTCCAACAAAACACTAAAATACAATAACCTATTAAACATGTTACGGTAAAATCTGGGTGCGAGGCTGCTCTGCCACCCAGCTATTCGGACTAAGTCCGCGGGTCCCTGCGGAGGAAAATGAGCTCAGCCGGAGACAGGAGCAAGCTGCAGAAGATCCAAGTTTATTGCGCAACAAGTTCAAGGCGAGATTGAACAGCAAGAAAGTACAGTACAAAATACATCCCAGTTACATCATGAATACATTAAGAAGAGGTTGGGTTACACAGATTAAATCATGAATACATTAAGAAGAGGTTGGGTTACACAGGATTAACATATGGAGGAGGGAGGGGGGAATATGCAGAGCTGGAGATATGCGCAGATAAGACAATGGTCCATGTATGCATAGTCTGCCACCTGGCATTGCCCGGAGGAAAGGCTTGGCAGAGTGATTTGACAGGATTAGGGTCTTGACACCTTGCTTGAGGGATTATGGAGGACAGGGGAGGTGTCATGGAGTCCTAGAGAAATTGAGCAAATTGGCACGTTGATTTTCTATGAATTTTATAGATTTTAGTCCCTTTTGACATTGACAATTGGAAATAAATGGATATATTGTAGCGAAGAAGAAGGTGAAGAAGACATGCCCCCCCTTCCGTATCAAACATTAAAAGCTTCCCTAAGCAGGGCTGCCTTTAGATGTCTTCTAAAAGTTTGGTAGTTATTTTTCTCTTTGACATCTGGTGGGTGGGCGTTCCACAGGGTGGGCGCCACTACCGAGAAGGTAGTGTAACTTGGCTTCCCTGGTTCCCTGTAACTTGGCTTCTTGCAGCGAGGGAACTGCCAGAAGGCCCTCAGAGCTGGACCTCAGTGTCCGGGCTGAACGATGGGGGTGGAGACGCTCCTGCAGGTATACTGGATCGAGGCCGTTTAGGGCTTTAAAGGTCAGCACCAACACTTTGAATTGTGCTTGGAAATGTACTAGTTATATTTATATCACACCTTCCTTCCTTCCTTCCTTCACAGAAGTCAAAGCAGACTCCGTAGGGTTTCCAAAGGGTTCTCCCATCCTGCACTAAACAGATCCATACACGCTTAGTGTCATAGAAGCATGCCAGTCAGTAACTACACAGTTCTAAATTCAGGTAGGTAGCCGTGTTGTTCTGACGCAGTCGAAATAAATAAAAAAATTGTCCATTAGCACCTTAGAGACCAACTAAGTATATTCTGGGCATAAGCTTTCGTGTGCATGCACACATCAGAACATACTTAGTTGGTCTCTACTAAGGTGCTAATGGACAATTTTTTTATTTATTTCGGGATAGCGTGCATGCACACGAAAGCTTATACCCAGAACATACTTAGTTGGTCTCTAAGGTGCTACTGGACAATTTTTTTATTTATTACACAGTTCTAAGATGGAGTGAGAGATTTTACTGTCTTGGGCTCCATGATCACTGCAGATGGTGACAGCAGTCATGAAATTAAAAGACATCTGCTTCTTGGGAGAAAAGCAATGACAAACCTAGACAGCATCTTAAAAAGCAGAGACATCACCTTGCCAACAAAGGTCCGTATAGTTAAAGCTATGGTTTTCCCAGTAGTGATGTATGGAAGTGAGAGCTGGACCATAAAGAAGGCTGATCGCTGAAGAATTGATGCTTTTGAATTATGGTGCTGGAGGAGACTCTTGAGAGTCCCATGGACTGCAAGAAGATCAAACCTATCCATTCTGAAGGAAATCAGCCCTGAAGGACAGATCCTGAAGCTGAGGCTCCAATACTTTGGCCACCTCATGAGAAGCGAAGACTCCCTGGAAAAGACCCTGATGTTGGGAAAGATTGAGGGCACAAGGAGAAGGGGACGATAGAGGATGAGATGGTTGGACAGTGTTCTCAAAGCTACCAGCATGAGTTGACCAAACTGCAGGAGGCAGTGGAAGACAGGAGTGCCTGGTCCATGGTCACGAAGAGTCAGGCACGACTAAACGACTAAACAACAACAAAGATGGAGTTAACTCTTTATTAGCCAAAACATGAATTCCACAGACTTGGTGGTCTAATAAGCAGAGCACCTCATTCCCGGTGGTCTTCCTCCACAAAAACCAGTTACCCACCACCACTGCCTGGTCTCTTCTTCTCTTGGTAGTTCCCCAGCTGGTTCCTTCCACTATTCCTCTGCAGCCAACCAGTCCATGACATCTAGCATCCTCAAGGCTGCTGCATCACGGATCCTCATACTGCGCTCAGACTGCTCCTGACAATCAGTTCATTGTGTGCCCGAAAATACACAGTCTCACCCATTTGGAGGGAAAGCTGCTACACCTAGGTGTTGTAAAGTTAAACCTGGGCAGGAGGTGGTGTGGGCTTCTGTTTTTATAAGCAGCATAAGAGAACGGCATCTGCTTTCTCTGCGCCGCCAGCCCTCCGGGGTTTCATTTGTGTATATACGGCGGTGGGGAGGGGAAGGGACGGGAGAGAGAAGCTTCGGGCATTTTTGACATTTCAACCAGCAGTGGCTTGGCTGTGCTATCAAAGCCAGCCTGGCAGATACACAGGATGGAGGGTCCAAGACCCACCGCAGCCATTGCCTGTCCAAATGATCTAATAGGGCAGACACTGCTGGGCCGCAGCAAGGAGGCCAGGGGAAAAATAAAATCCCATGGAGACGGGGCTAGGCCAGGGCTATAAAGAATCTGCTTTTCTTAGCAGGTGCTTTAAGTTCCAACATCTGCTGGCTGTTTAAATCAAAGCAGCTGCGAGGGCCTTTTACGCAAATGAATGACGTTAACGTATAAATACACTGTTAAAGATCCCCCCCCCTTTTCCCCCTTCCCGACTACTATTCTTGGCTTGAGCATAGATAGAAGGCTCAATTTATAAAAAATAATAAAAAAAGTCCAGTATGTTGAGGAAATAGGGGAGGGAGGTACAAAGTCTAACAATTCAGAGTTTCTTTTCTTACCTTGTTTTGTGCTGCGGATAATTCCAGGCGTCTATTTCTCTGTAAAGACTCTTTAAAAATTGCTCTGAAGTTTTTAAACCCAAGAAATCTCAGAGCAGTTAACACAAACTGTGGTTGCTCAGGAGTTGATGCATTGCATCTCACCCTTATTTGCATAACAAGGGACGCGGGTGGCGCTGTGGTCTAAACCACTGAGCCTCTTGGCTTGCTGATCAGAAGGTCGGCAGTTCAAATCCCTGCGACAGGTTGATCTCCCATTGCTCTGTCCCAGCTCCTGCCAACCTAGCAGTTTGAAAGCACACCAGCGCAAGTAGATAAATAGGTACCGCTGCGGTGGGAAGGTAAATGGTGTTTCCGTGTGCTCTGGCTTCTGTCATGGTGCCAGAAGCGGTTCAGTCCTGCTAGCCACATGACCCAGAAAGCTGGACAAACGCTGGCTCCCTCGGCCTGAAGTGAGATGAACATCACACCCCATAGTCGCCCTTGACTGGACTCAACCATCCCGGGGTCCTTTGCTTTTTACCTTTTACCTTATATTCCACTATAGTTCCAGAATTGGCTTTTACATCATGTGAAATATCAAACATAATGTGGAAATTGACAGTTAGGGAAATATCATGAAAGTTGAATAAACTACTGAAAACTTCTTATGGACTTTCTGCGTGAAAGAGAAAATGAACTTGTAATATCTGGATTTGAAGATTGACAAAATACTGGTTTATAGAATAGCTGGGTGCCAGTTTGAGTGAATACTTGCAACAAGTTATTATATTTAGCTGGCAGGCAGAGAACTGGGAGTCTTTCCCCCCCCCCTTTTTTTTCCTTTTTCCTTTTTCTTGTGTTTCTTTTTTCTTCTTCTTCTTCCTTCTCTTTGCTCCTGTTTTGCAACCGCTAAGGAGCATGTGGGCAATACATGGGAGAAATTGGAACAGACTCCCCCAACCTGGTGACTTTCCACTGTTTTGAATGACAACTCCAAGCTGGGACCTCTGGCCCAAAGTGTTCCCCTACAAAAAATTTCACTGCATGCCACTGCAAACTTAGATTCTATAACCAAGAGTTTAAATGCTGGTGGAAGTTTGCCACCACAAGCAACCTAGCCTCTGCTTTCTGCACTAGCTGCGGCCTCTGGAGTAACCTCAAGAGTAGCACCACGCAGAGAGAATTAGAGAGAAAGAGAGAAACAGAAGTCCTGGAATAAATAGGCTAATATAGTCACACTTCACTTGGACTCTTAAGTGTGTACAACTACAACTCCATCTTCCCACATCATGATTTCTGCTGTTGTTTGTAGACTCCGCTTTCAGCTACCAAATAGCCTTTCTCTTGACATAGGTAAAGGTAAAGGGACCCCTGACCATTAGGTCCAGTCGTGGCCGACTCTGGGGTTGCGGCGCTCATCTCGCTTTATTGGCCGAGGGAGCCGGCAAACAGCTTCCGGGTCATGTGGCCAGCATGACTAAGCCGCTTCTGGCGAACCAGAGCAGCACACAAACGCCGTTTACCTTCCCGCCAGAGCGGTACCTATTTATCTACTTGCACTTTGACATGCTTTTGAACTGCTAGGTGGGCAGGAGCAGGGACCGAGCAATGGGAGCTCACCCTGTCATGGGGATTCGAGCCGCCAACCTTCTGATCGGCAAGTCCTAGGCTCTGTGGTTTAACCCACAGCACCACCCGCGTCCCCTCTCTTGACATAGCTCACAGTGATTCCCTTGCCAATTTCCCTTGGCATCAAAAGCTCACAGTCCTGGAATTAAGGCTTATCTCTGGCTTTGAAAGGTGCCCTCCATGTGTCTCCCGCCACCACCCGCTCCGCAGCCTTGACTCCCATTTGACACGCACAACAGCATTTTACACCCGAGTCGTTTCCCTGAGCCATAAGGCTGTGGTTGACAGCCTGCCCCAGACTCAAAGCTACAGTAAGCTGCTCACTTGAGCTCTCGATTCCAGCCAATAAGCTCGTCCAAGTTCACATGATTCTGGCTGTTTGCTCTTGAGCTATTATGTCCAGCAGAGAGGCTGCTTACCCAGCGAACACCAAGCCTTTGTGTCAGATTCTGCTGTTCCTTTGCCAGAGGAACTCCTTCTCCAGCTGAAGTCAGCACAGGAGTAAACGAAATGCCGCTTCTTAAGCAGCGAATGCATTGCTAATAATAAGCATTTGAAGGACAGAGACTGGTTCTGATCTGGGTCCAACTTCTAGATCACCAAGGGTGGCCCTACTGTAAGGCAGAGTGAAGTGGACACTTACAGACTGCCAAAAATGAAAGAAGAAGAAAGAAATGCATTGCAAAAAAGAAGGGTAGCAAAAGAGTGTCCTAGGAAATTGCATGGGAGGTGGCTCCTGGGTGAGGGTCACTGCTTACTTGGGAGTAAATGCATTTGAACTTAATGGGACTTATATCTGAGTAGATGTGCAAAGGATTATGATTACCGTATTTTTCGCTCTATAAGACGCACCAGACCACAAGACGCACCCAGTTTTTGGAGGAGGAAAACAAGAAAAAAAATATTCTGAATCTCAGAAGCCAGAACAGCAAGAGGGATCGCTGCGCAGTGAAAGCAGTAATCCCTCTTGCTGTTCTGGCTTCTGGGATAGCTGCGCAGCCTGCATTCGCTCCATAAGACGCACACACATTTCCCCTTACTTTTTAGGAGGGAAAAAGTGAGTCTTATAGAGCAAAAAATACGGTATATTTCTTAAATTTGTACACTGCCATACACTGGCAGGTATACAACATAAAAATTACAATATAAAAACACAAAATACATTTCCTTTTTTTTTTATTTATTAAAGAATTTCTTGATTTACAAAGAAAACAACAAAAAAGAAAACGATGATGAACCACGTATGAATTATGTAATTCATTCAGTCAGAACTGAAGATAAACAGTGTTGCACTGTCTCCGTTTCAAAGTAATCTGCAAAGACTAAATAACTTCTCCATAAATATTTACATCAGATTTAAGATTTGACTCTTATATGCAAATCGAAAAAGCTTTCCCCCCACCCCACTAATGAATGAATGAATAAATAAATAACAAAAATGATTGTAATAAAACACAAAATACATAACAATAACAATAACAACCCAATAAACTCCCCCTTCCCAATACATTTGAAAAGGGCATTGGATGTCAGGCAGTCCAAGGCCTGGTTAAAGAGGAATGTTTTTGCCTGGCACCTAAAGGTGTATTATGAAAGCGCTAGCTGAACCTCCCTGGGGAGAGCATTCCACAAATGGGGAGCCACCACAGAAAAGGCCCATTCTTACACTTAGGAATCATATAACATAGTGGAGAACCAGTGTGGTGTAATGGTTAGAGTGTCGGACTAGGACCTAGGAAACGAGGGTTCAAATCCCCATTCAGCCATGAAGCATATTGGGTGACCTTGGGCCAGTCACTGTCTCATAGCCTAACCTACCTCACAGGGTTGTTGTGAGGATAAAATGGGGAGCAGAGAACCATTTTTACTGCTCCGAGCTTCTTGCAGGAAAAGGTGGTGTAAACGAAATGAGCTAATACAATAAATCAATAAACCTGGCGCCCTCCTGATGTTTTGGACTACAACTTCCTTCCACCCCAGTTAGCACAGCTGTACCCAATGGGATCTATAGTCTGGAGGGCACTAGGTTGGCAAAAGATGATGTGACACTTCTGAAACGTCCAAAAGCATTTGGACATTGGGCTTGTCCACGCTTCGTCCTGCCCTCCTGATTCACCCCAGCGAAAAACGCTCTTTAGCCTCAGCCAGAGGAAACGGCAATTTGGGTTTTCTCTGGATTGACGTTTGCTCCCAGGTTTTCCCTGGGAAACGAGCAGTGCAAAGGGGAAAGTGCTTGGACCCATAACTGGAAAGTGTGGGTCAAGCAGAAAACCACTCGGACCCACGGAAGTGTGGAGAAGCCCGTTGTCTCCATACTCCTCGTGAAAACCATGCTGCTCTTTTTAGAGCGCAGTGAAGGACGGAGTGGGGGCGATTTTTACGATATAGACGATATATGATATACGATATCTTTATTGTCATTGTCCCATGCAGAACAATGAAATTGAAAAACTACATAAAACATTCAAAAACCCCTAAAAACTCTGAAACCCCATTTTAAAATACACTATACTATAAAGACCCCTTATGCTGCATTTAGAACCAGAATTGCATTTGCATAGAAACTGTTTCTCATGTGGCTAGTCCTGGCCTTTATAATCCTGTACCTTTTTTCAGAAGGCAGAAGCTGAAAGAGATCATTTGCCCGCCTTGTGTCCTCACCACACGAGTGGGACAGCCTCTCTGTCCCAGAGATACTCCACAACATTTATGAAGACCTGCGGTGCCTACTTTAGTCTTTGTGCCCTTCGAGAAACTCTACCCATTTCCTAGCTTTGAACTTCGCTCTTTTCTCCCTTTCTATTTTGGGGCCTGCCAGGGATCCCGTCTGCTAATTCACAGTTCTGCCTCTTTGAAGTGCCATTGATATCCCAAACTTGTGAAGTCTCCCAAACGAAATGGAGCCCTCCAGTGCGGCTGGAGCTACACTACAAATAAACTTGCTCTGGTGAACCTGCCCAGTTTCCTTTCAGTACAGTAACGTCAGCCTATCTCTGAGAAAAGGCCTTCTGAGGGATAAGCATTGCGAAGGAAAATAAAATCCACAGCAGGTCACCCTGGCAAAGAAAAACAGTGAGATATTTAAACCTCTCCTTTTTTTCTTCTTCTCAAATGCTTGGGTGTTCTTCGTAGAGCGAGCTTCTCCCTCCCTTCGTCTCCCCGATCGGTAGTGTCCAAAGTGTTACTCATATTGTTGACAGAGCTTTGATGTTTGCCTCCAGGAGTTTTCGTTCAGCCGTCAGGAATGCGGAGGTCAGATCCTTCTCCCTCACAGATGAAACCAAGGCTGCAAAATTTAATACTGAAGTTTATTCAGAGCAAGGGAAGTCCATCCAGTCATTCTGTGATTAAGACAAAGCTGCAAAGAGTCAAAAACGTTGCGGCGATTGGATGGCTTTTGTTTTCCTTCTCGTCTGCACGCCCCCTCCCCCTTGAGGTGCATTTGCTAACTGGGTGGCACATGACTGCTTCTGAGCAACTTTTTTGGGGTGTGAATTATGCTTTATTGGGTTTCAGGTAAATTGGCCCAGTGCTTGATATGGTATTACTATCACTCAGAAAAGATAGGTGGGTGTCAACAGTTGTGAACTGTTGGGCCTATGGAGGAATTAAACAGTTGGGGGAGAATTAACAGTGCAGTCCTAACTATGTCTGCTCAGAAGTCCTATGGAGCTTACTTCTAAGTAAGTGGGGCTAGGATCGCAGCCATGGCCTGATTGTTTCACTCACCCTCTTCATAAAAAGATGTGCTGAATTGGAGAAGGGCACCAAACTGGTATGGTCCTAGCTCTACCTCTCTTTTAAATCAGAACCAGTGAAGGCGGTGAAGGTCCTGTGTGAGTGCTGGAGGCGGTTGGAGGATGGATGGCGGGTAACAGATTGAGGTTGAAGCCTGACAAGACAGAAGTACTGTGTTTGAGGGACAGGGGGCGGGCGGGTATGGGGAACTCCCTGGTCCTGAATGGGGTAACTGTGCCCCTGAAGGATCAGGTGCACAGCCTGAGAGTCATTCTGGACTCACAGCTGTCCATGGAGGCGCAGGTTAATTCTGTGTCCAGGGTGGCTGTCTACCAGCTCCACCTGGTACGCAGGCTAACACCCTACCTACCCACAGACTGCCTCACCGGAGTGGTGCATGCTCCAGTTATCTCCCGCTTGGACTACTGCAATGCGCTCTACGTGGGGCTACCTTTGAAGGTGACCTGGAAACTGCAATTAATCCAGAATGTGGCAGCTAGACTGGTGACTGGGAGTGGCCGCCGGGATCACATAACACTGGTCCCAGTACGTCTCCAAGCACAATTCAAAGTGTTGGTGCTGACCTTTAAAGCCCTAAACGGCCTCGGTCCTGTATACCTGAAGGAGCATCTCCACCCCCATCCTTCAGCCCGGACACTGAGATCCAGCTCCGAGGGGTTCTGGCGGTTCCCTCATTGCGAGAAGTGAGGTTACAGGGAACCAGACAGAGGGCCTTCTCGGTAGTGGTGCCTGCCCTCTGGAACGCCCTCCCATCAGATGTCAAGGAAATAAGCAGCTATCTTATTTTTAAAAGACATCTGAAGGCAGCCCTGTTTAGGGAAGTTTCCAATATTTAATGCTGTATTGTTTTTTATTATTATTATTATTGGTTTTAATTCATTTTCTAACACCATACAAACAAAAAAGACATACACAACACATTCACACCAAAAAAACTAAATAAAGAGAAAATAATATATATATATATATATATATATATATATATATATACTCCTGACATAAGACAACAACAAATTGACTACATTAACTACATAACACACAACACTGACTGACTTCCCTTCATCTCGGTTTCGGAATGTGTTATAAAATTTTTCTATCTGCAGTTTCTTTTCCTCAAAAAAATTTTTTTACATCACAAGTGTTATATCACACCTACTGTAATTTTTAATTTTTTTTACCTCTGTTTCCATGTATGCCATGAATTTATTCCAATCTTTATTAAACTTTGTGTCTTTTTGATTTCTTATTTTCTGTGTCATTTTTGCCAATTCTAGATAGTCAAGTAGTTTGGATTGCCATTCATTTATGGTTGGGATTCTTGGTGTATTGTTGGTGTAATGCTGTATTGTTTTTAACACTTGATTGGGAGCCGCCCAGAGTGGCTGGGGAAACTCAGCCAGATGGGCGGGGTACAAATAATAAATAATAAATTATTATTATTATTATTATTATTATTATTATTATTATTATCGCTAGATGAAAGGAAGAGAATCCAAACAAAATAGATATTCAGATTTGATTATGTTTGAACATCTTTTAAAAACACATACACTCACAAACTACGATTTTAAAATGTTTGAATCAAAAACTATTGATTCAAAAAGTCTGAGAGTGGCGTCTTCTTAAGACAGGATTAAAACTGTCGGCCGTTCAAAGAATTTATAGATTATGAAGAATCTGCATTCTAACTGATGAATTACTCAATCACAGCAACTGTCAGATGATGGGCAGTCTATATTTAATAAGTGATAATAATACAACAGGGGTAGAGAATCTCCGGCACACAGGCCGAATCCAGCACCCATGAGCCTATTTTTTGTAACATGCCAGCCTATTCTTAGGAGGGTGGGGAAAATTTGAATCAGTTCACATTTAAAGGCAAATCTAATTCACCCTTTCTGAAACAATACTCAAAATCAACACTGAGACCTCCGAGTACAGAGTGATATATAAATTCAATAAATAATACTAATAATCCCAGACCCTCCAAGTGTCCCTATTTTCCAGGGACGTCCCTGATTTAGAGAAGCAGCCCCAGTTTCTGATTTGATCCCCAAGTGTTCCACTTTTCCTTAGGATGTTCCTATTTTCATTGGAGAAATGTTGGAGGGTGTGGAGTTATCTGATCCCTGAACCGTCTGAAGGCAGCGGCGTAGCATGGGTTGTCAGCACCCGGGGCAAGGCAAGTAATTTGCGCCCCCTAACCCGGGGCAAGGCAAGTAATTTGTGCCCCCTAACCCCTAACCTGCCGCCGCTGCCAGCTTCTTCTTGCTGCTGCCTGGTCTGGTCTGGTGTGGTTCTCTCCTGCGCTCAGCGCTGCGCTGGGCGGCCGCTGCACTGTCCCTCCCCCAGATAGTCCATCGCTCTCTCTCCGCACCGCACGCCTGGCACCCACCCCCTCCACAGTGGGCGGCGACCCAGCGGCTCGGATCGGATCCGCACAGCCAGCACTGCAGTGAGAGAGAGTGAGTGAGCCAGGTAGGGGCAGAGAGCTGCGAGTGCAAGGGCGCCCCCCCCCCAGATGTTGCGCCCGGTGCAGCCGGCCCCCCCTGCACCCCCCACGCTACGCCACTGTCTGAAGGCAATCCTGTATAGGGAAGTTTTTTTTAATGTTTAATTTTAAAAATGTTTTTATATGTGTTGGAAGCTGCCCAGAGCAATTGGGACAACCCAGTAAGATGTGTGGGGTATAAAATCATCATTATGGACTAGGACTTCCCTATTTTCATCGGAGAAATGTTGGAGACTATGAATTTTGCAGGGCATTTTTTCAGCCAAATAATATATACCAAAATACATATAAGGGGTCAAAGTGTTCATAAAAACGCATGCATTGGCGAAAATAACACTAAAATGCTTTGTAAAAATGTGGGGATTAGGCAAAATTAGGTATCCATTCATGTAGATTAGAAGAAATTCAACGATGAATTTTCATGAGGACTTTAAAAAACAACAACCTGTAAACTGATGTGGATATGTGGATATCCGAATTTAAGAATAGAAGAATGAGAAATTGAGAGAACCTGAAATTGACAAAATCATCCATTGCTACCTACACCTAACATTAGTCAGGGCAGGTAAAAACACAGCAAAGTGCAAATATACAATTACCTAGGAGTAAGTTCCATTGAACCTAATGGTACTTACTTCTGGATAGCCAGGCAAAGGATTGCACTGTAAATATAAATGCAGTTTTATACCATCCAAACTTATAGGTGCCTTTTCTTTCTTCTTCTTTTTTTGGAAACATAAAGAAGTGTAAAAACATATCCTGATCTTTAAAAAAATAAATTAATAAATCTACTCCTCATTGCTAAAAGGAAAGACTATCTTGATTTTGTTTTTTACCGTCACACGTTAGAACAAAACAATGCTAAAACAAAAAACCCAAAACCAAGTCTGACATTAATTCTCTACACCCAATTAAAATTGCCTCATTGGCTTCCAATTGCCCCCTCCCCCCGCCCGACGCTTCAGCCGATTAATTTTCCGATTGAAAATTTGCAGCCCTAGTCAGGAACTGTTACGGAAAAAGCTGCAAGCATCAAAGCACCGTGCTTCGTGCTAAGCAAAGTAGCGAGTTGAGAAAATTCCCCGCCTGCCAGTGCTAGGCATCAGAATTGATCTTCCTGATGAGCCGCCTTTTTGAGCGTGTTTTGTAAAGCCCTCGGAATCTGTGCCAAGTCTCATTTGGCAGTGACTTCAGATCATATGAAGTTAAATACCCTGTTCATGACAAGTTTAAATAATGCAGTAAAAACAAATGTGGTGTAATAGTCAGATGCTATAAATTCAAGGTGAACTTTGAGAGACGCCTTGTATATCCAAGCTCATTAAAACCGATGGCAGTGGAGACATACAGTTCTCCCTCCTGGTATATTCTCAATAATAACATACAACAGGGTAGATAACCACTGGCCCTCTAGATATTGCTACACACCATCTCCCAGCATCACTGACAATTGGACATGCTGGCTGGGGCTGATGGGAGTCGGAGTCCAACAACTAATGGAAGGCCACAGGTTCCCCACCCTTGGCATGCAGCAAAAGTGTGCCACACACCTTTCTGCACATGCATGCTTCTGCTCCTCCATGATTTCCCCATGAAAACAGCAGGGAAATATACTCGGAGTCGAGTGTGGATTTCATGCTCTTTATTCAGCTCATAGTAGTGAGGAATGAAAGCTTCCCCAAAATATCTGCTTTAGATACATTATTTACAGAATGGGCCGCACGTGATTGGCTAATTCCGGGATTCTCCTGTGGGCCAATCAGGTTGCAGATTCACTTCCACCCGGAGTTGGTTGGGTGGCTCCTGTGGACCAATCATACTGCTGCACTGTTTTAGGACCAATCAGACTGCTGCATTCTGAATCCTATTGTTCTAGGACCAATCAGACTGCTGCATTTTGGATCCTATTCAACTCAGTACATAACAAGCAGGAAATGACTGTTGTATGCCGCCCCAAATCCATGCATGCAAGTTATTCAGTGCTCTATTATGTTAGTTTTTCCAAAAGTGGTGTTTACGTTGTGTGAAAGCTCAAATACCTCTTTCCGCAGGGCCTGCAAGACAGAGCTGTTCCACCAGGCCATTGGCCAAGGCACAGTCTGACCCCCGCCTTTGGTAATCCTCACAGAACTCTAGCCCAATGGTTGCCAGTAATTTGATTCTGAATTGATTTTAGAATATATTTCAATTAATTGATTGTGATTTTATGTAAACTGTGTTGCTGTTACTGTTGTTAGCTGCTCTGAGCCTGGCTTTGGCTGGGGAGGGCGGGATATAAATACAATTTTATTTTATTATTATTATTATACGATGCTGAAATCAACACTGAGAAAATTGAAGAAACTGCTGTGTGGATACAGTACCCATCTCTCAAAGCACTAGAAACCAATGAAGGGGGTCAGAAGGAGTTTCAGGACAGGCAAAATCAGGCATGCCAATTCCAGGGGGCCAAAGCCCCTCAATGTTTGTTGGGAGGGGGCCAGGCCCCCTCAATGTTGAGGGGGCGGAGGAAACTGAGTGCGGAGCCAAGCATGGAACAGTTTCAGTGGTCATGCACACGTGTATCGCAGTGTGTGTGTGTGTGTGTGTGTGTGTGTGTGTGTGTGACATCGTGCACATGTGCTGCACCCCAAGCCCCCTGAGTCTTGGGGGCAACTTAGAATCATAGAATCGTAGAGCTGGAAGGTACCCAAGGGTCATCTAGTCCAACCCCTTGCAACGCACCTCTGGGCACCCCTGGGCAAAGGAAGTCTTTTTTCCTCACAGCACCTAGGTAAACTTGAGAAATCAATGCCACAAGATGCAGTGATGGCTAATCAGACAGCTGTAAAAGAGGGTTAGATGCATTTCATGTAGGTTGGTTATTTTTTTTAACATTGACATTTTTAACAGGTTGACCTGTTTATTATTTATTTATTTATTTATTTATTTATTTATTTATTTTCCCATTCTTTATGATCACACTTTCATCCAGGGATGTCGAATAACTTACAAAAAGAAAATCATTCAGTCGAAAATCTAACAATAACATGCATCAAAACCATCCTCCTATTAGTTATACATAACAGTATATACTTTTGTCCCTACTTATTTATCCTAATTTTTTTCCCCTTCCTCCCTCCCCCCAAAACTTGTTCTCTCTTCAGATCTTTAACCATGTGCACAGATTATTCATTCTAATTTGGACGCTTGGGTTGGCTTCCCCCCGTGCTATCCAATTCCTATAACTTGTCCATTTATTCAAAATCTTTTGACATTTGTTTTCCCATGTATCTTCCATCCTTACCTGTTCAAATATATCAGATGGTATATATTCAAAAACATAGTCATTCCATTTTTCCATTGTCCATTTATCCTTTTCTTTCCATCCTGATGCAAGCATACCAGCTAAGATCATAATTTTATACCAATCTTGCTCTTTTCTTTCTATTTTACTATTCCCCAATATTTCTGAGATAAGCATTTCTCTATTGACTTCTATCTTAACCTGAAATAACCTTTATAATCTTTCGCCAATATTCCTTTACACAAATGCACTCCCACCACATATGTGCATATACCCCTAACTCTCGACCACAGTGCCAACACTTAGGACTCAATCCTTTAACTACATATGCCAGTTGCACTGGGGTTCTATATCATGGAGGATAAGCTATCAGTAGCTACTGGATATGGTAAGTCTATGCTATCTTCAGTTGCCGAAGGTGGTATTCAACTCTGTTTGACTCGGAGGAGTAAAGATAAGAGAAATCAATGAACATAATTAAGTGGAGTCCGTTAATTTCAATGGGTCTAACTTGGAGTAAAACTTACTTGAATAACAATTGCAGGGGATCACAAACAGCAGCGAGCAATTACAGCCCTGCTGTTGAGTTTCCCAACAAACAACTCATTGGCCACTGTGGGAGGGTCAGTGCTGGACTCAAAAGGCCTTCATTTGATCCCGCTGGAATCCTCGTTGGTTCTTATTTATTTATTTATTTTTATAAGATATTTATTAAGATTTTTTAAAATATTACAATAACAAATGAAAAAGAAAAAAAATACAAAATAAAAATGATTAAAAACCACTCAATTTTTCCATTGCTTATTTTTCCTTAGCTTGTTTCCCGGACCTCCTCATACCTCCCTTTTTTGTATTCCAGTTCAGTTTGTTGGTTCAGCAAATCCTTGTTGGTTCTTATTTAAGACAGCTGCTGTGCTGCTTTTTTGACTTCATGCTGAAGGTTCCTAATAAGACTCTCAGAAAGACTCCCTGGATTACCCCACAGCGTCGGACCTCACAGTTACAGCATCTTATTATCTGCAGAGAAACCAATGCCTGTGTACTAAAATACTGTTTTAGGATCTCCTATAAACATTTCGAAGTCAGCCGAAAAGACACATTTCCCCAGCTGGAAAAAAAGATAGCTTTGTGAAAGTGCGTCTGCTGGACAATTTCGGTGAAGATTCCAACTTAGGATATTGCGGAAGAGTCTCCTGGAAGCCTCTGAGAATTGTAATATAATAAAGCCTTTGAAGTCGCCGTGACACCTCGGCGCTGAATCCCATATGGAACATGAATTGCCAGTCTTATAAATGTACAACATAAAATCAATTACAATATGTCACAAGCGGTTAGCTTGTTTTTTTCTCCCAGCCAAACCTCTACATCTTGTGGAAATAAAGGCTTTTCCACTCCAGCTGTAGCCAAATGTGAGTCTAATGGATATTGCTTTTTAAGACACTAAAATCAGTTTTATCTCTTGTTCTCTGACAGTACAAGGTAGCCCATCATTAATCTGGCACCATTTCCCCCACCCTTGATACTTTTTTCTTCCCCCACCGTCAGAAATACCCTACCAACAATTTCAACCCCTGGTGATTCCAAATCAAGGAATTCATCTTACGTATGAATAGGGGGAGTCGGGATTATTATTTAAAATAGGGTATTTTCAGTATTTGCATAGTGACCCAATCTCAATGGTATTTAAATGGTTAACCTGGTGGGCTTCTTTCTTTGCAACACATGCCGACAGTTTTCATATTATTATTTCCTAGGAGTCCTGATACAGCAGTTTAAAGGGGCAGTAAGGAGATGGCGCTGTGGGTTAAACAACAGAGCCTAGGACTTGCCGATCAGAAGGCCGGCGGTTCGAATCCCCGTGACAGGGTGAGCTCCCGTTGCTCAGTCCCTGCTCCTGCCAACCTAGCAGTTCGAAAGCACGTCAAAGTGCAAGTAGATAAATAGCTACCGCTTCAGCAGGAAGGTAAACAGCGTTTCCGTGCGCTGTTCTGGTTCACCAGAAGTGGCTTAGTCATGCTGGCCACATGACCCGGAAGCTGTCTGTGGACAAACGCTGACTCCCTTGGCCTATAGAGCGAGATGAGCGTGCAACCCCAGAGTCAGTCATGACTGGACCTAATGGTCAGGGGTCCCTTTACCTTTACCTTTAAGGAGATCTGTAGGGAGCAACAGGTGCCAGCAAGGATAATCTCTATGGGAGCTTATAGAAAGATGTGTGCCTATGTTTTCTCCCCGACATTCAGAACGGACTATCAATTTTAGCCTAGGTCACTGCCACACTGGGCACAGTGAGCTTCTTTTTCAACCTTGGGTTTTTGGGCACCTTGCCAGTAATGAAGATGTATTAATGCTTAATGCAGCTTAATGTAATAGGTGTCATGTTCATAATTTACAGAGGCTCTTTCTAAAGCATTAAATTCATTTATACTCCTTAAAAGCTACTCAATCCTGAGCGCTAAGTTAGTTTGGTTGTGCAGGGAGGGGGGAGGGCTGGAGGAGGAAGAGGAGGGCTTCTTTGTAGGATCAAAATGATATATAAATTGTTAACATATCCAAACTCATCCATTAGTGCATGTGAAAGCGATAAATGTGCCAAAGCAGCAATAAGATGATCGAGGAAAGTCATTGTGGTCATTAGGGCTGAAAGGGTTTCATTTATGGCCCCGGCAAAGAGAAGGAAAGCTATAAAATCGTCTTCCACCTATGCCTCCCCTCGCCCACCACTTGCCCACCCCCTAAAAAAAGCTCTGCAAAACTTAAACCTATAGTAAGGGGCATTGATTATTTTAATAGTCGTGTTTTTGAGCCGCACAGTCAAGATGGGTGCAATCGGTTGCGAAAAATGGTTGGGTCTCTTTGCTGACTGTTACCCACCCAGGTAGGTTGGGCATTTGGCAAGGAATGAGCATTAGGCTTACGTCACATCTGTGCAGAAACAGCCTGTCCAACACATTTTGTTCTTTGTTTAGTTTTGGGAAACGATTTCATTTATAGTTTTCAATTTTACAACAAATACATAATTATTTAAATCATCTCGTTATCCACAACTTCCCTTCCCTGCCTTCTGTGGTTCATTAAAATTTGGCCCTCAGAGATCAATACCCAGGTCAGGACATAATTCTCCTTCAGATTTTTGACTACTCTGAATTTTGCAATATAATTCTAGATGCAAACAAGTACCAAACTATATTTTTAATGCATATTTGAGAATCGATATATTTAGAAATACATACACTGGGTTTTTTGAAATACGAATTTCATGCAGATTTTTCTAAAAATAAAATCACAGATTAATGTGGAAATGAGAAGGAATGGACTTGTGAAGGAACATGTTTAAAATTGGCATGGAACAAAACTAAATAAATCTGCCCATTGCTAGTTTTAGGTCACTCTTCTTCCCTAATTGAGAAGGTTTGCCAATACAATTCTCCTGGAGCATTCGGGGTTTTTTCTGTAATGCTTTCCAGAAGAAACAGGATGTCTCATTCAAGATTGGGGGTGGAGGAGATGGCATTTGCAAGATAGTAAATAGGTGATGAGAACCTTATTTATTTACTTGTGTACACCATCCTTCATTCAAAGATCACAGCGCAGTTCATTTTCTGGGAGAAAGAGAGACAAAGCTGTCTTTCCACATTCTTAGAACTTCTCCCCCAAACTTCTGCTGCATGGTGTGCATGAGATTTCCAGATTGCCTCCCATCCTCCCATTGGCTATACTTAAACCTCATTGGTTTCAAAAATGGAACAACAGCTGGTACCTTCAGACCTCATTCAGATATTAGCAGAAATCAGATGCACACATCTGATTTCTCTGTTTACCAGCATGCAGTGCTATTTCTCTAGGAAAAGTGGTGCCGGAACTCACCATGAACTCACCTTGTCTCTAAGAATGGCAATGGCACTCACGTGAGAGGTGCCAGAACTGAGTTCTGGTGAGTTCCAGCTGAAAAAAAGCCCTGCCAGCATGGATTATCTCATTCACTCTGCATGCATGTAGACTTAGGGGCATGCATAGAACATTCGGTCCAGTATACCTGAAGGAGCGTCTCCACCTCCATCGTTCTGCCCGGACACTGAGGTCCAGCGCCGAGGGCCTTCTGGAGGTTCCCTCGCTGCAAGAAGACAAGTTACAGGGAACCAGGCAGAGGGCCTTCTTGGTAGTGGAACCCTGTGGAACGCCTTCCCACCAGATGTCAAAGAGAAAAATAACTACCAAACTCTTAGAAGACATCTGAAGGCAGCCCTGTTTAGGGAAGCTTTTAATGTTTAATAGTATTTTAGTGTTTTGTTGGAAGCTGCCCAGAGTGGCTGGGGAAACCCAGCCAAATGGGCAGGGTATAAATAAATTATTATTATTATTATTATTATTATTATTATTATTCAACGGCACTGATGCAACTAAGCTCTTGTTCATAGCTTCATGCGCATCAGGGTTTGGGGTCTTGGCCAAGACCTGAAACATAACCAACGAAAACAAGGCTACATGGCACACAGGATAATATAAAAGGATTTCAAAACACTGTCTTTCCACCCCTCCCTTTCTTATTTAGAAGTTGGTCAAGCAAAGCCATCCGATCTGGGGGGAAACTGGGTCTTTTGCATTTACGTTGTTACAAAAATCAGGTTGACCTTCATGCTAGGTTAAATGGATCAGCACGCATGGCACTGAAGCACACATCACTCACATTCTCCAGAAACTGTAACATCCACCCAGATCCCATCCCTGAAAGATCAGGGAGTAAGTGTATCTAACAACCTGTAATTAAGTCATGTCATGTAGCCCGATTCAACTTGGAGGGTTGAGGTGGGGGGGGGGGGACGAGATGGAGAAATGCCTACAGTAATTGCATTTAGTTCATCTTGTATCGTGCTCCCAATCATAACCGCTAATTCAATTGTGCACTCGTTCTGCCAGCTCATTGCCATTAAGCACACATTTAATTACTTCAATAAAGGATTAATATGCAGTGCACAAAAGGAAGGACATTGCACTGTGCCAAAGCACACAGCTGCCCGGCCATTTAGCTCGCAGATAAAGAAAGAATATCGTCGGGCAGCAAATCCTGTTACAAATACATCATTATTAGATGAACATTTGAGACTTTTATTTTCGTGCTCAGCACACATATATTTCCCTGGCTAGCGCCAGAAAGAGCTGTAGCGAGCGACTGACAGCTCTGCCATTGTTATCTCAATAATACCACTAACCAGGCTGGGGGGGTTAAGCCTCATTACTCCCCTCCCCAATCCTTGTAAGGTTCCTCTTATCTTGCTCCCAGGCAAGAGCCTGCAGCTTGCTACATTACAACATCCTGAGATAAGGAGCCTGCCCTGACATTATTCCAGCTTCTGCTGCAAACCTCTGACAAGCATAGCAAGTGTAAGTTTAAAAAAAAGGAGGGTGAGAGAGAGAGAAAAGACAATAAAGCCATTGTGCCCCCCCCAACGCTGCCGCCCCAGTCCCTTCTAGCCCCCAAAGACAGCCCATCAATTCTCGAGGTTGTACACAATCATTATTGCAAGGGAAACAAAGGCCCGTGTCAATTGTGCAATGTTAGAAAGCAGTCCCTCAAATTAAAACCATGTACCTAACTGGATCTGATGGCAGAAGCTATTTAGCAGTGATATTTTACGGAAGGGCAATGAAAAGCAATAACGGCTTTATTTAATGTATCTGTTCAATCCAGCTGCCTCGCGCAGGCCTTAATAGAAGCTGTCGATCAATGTCGGCGCCTTTGAAATAACTATGGCAGACTGCAATAAACACGAAGGGAAAGATAACTAAAACTACTGATCAGCCCCTCGTTACTTCCTCGCGCTCCCGAGATTTGTCACTTGTTTGTGCTGCTATAATAGCGGCGGGCGATGCTTATCGTGGCAGGAGTGTGCGACGCCGCAGGCAAGGGGAGGCACAGATTGGCACTTAGGGCACATAATCCGTGCGGAGGAGAACAAAGTGGAGCAAATCAGTCTCAGAGATCCCAGAGATGGCCTCAGACAAACCTTTGTTAATATTCATGTCTCCTTTGCTGGCTTGTCTAGTTGGATAGCCCATCTCTCTCTTCTAGCTGACTAGTGCAGCAGGGGTAGTCAACAACATGGCGCCCTCCCGATGTGGCCGGACTACAGCTCCCATCACCCCTGACCATTGATCATGATGCCTGGGGCTGATGGGAGTTGGAGTCCAGCAACATCTCTGGAAGTTCACTATTTGCATTAGAAGTGCAGTCATACCTCAGGTTAAAGATGCTTCGGGTTAAATCTTTTCAGGTTGTGTCCCGCAGCGATCTGGAAGTACTGGAAAGGGTTACTTCCGGGTTTCACCACTCGCGCATGCGCAGACACTCAAAATGACGTCATGTACATGTGCAGATGTGGGTTGCGTTCTGCTCATGTTGAGAATGGGGCTCCGCAACAAATCCCATTCGCAACCAGAGGTACCACTGCAAATGGAAGAAGGCACGGTTGAAGGTTTCTTGAGATACTCCACTGCTGATAACCTGTGAGTAAGATCTAGCACAGCGGTGAGCAACCCTTTCCAGCCACATTTCCTCACGCGTGGGGCCAGAAGCAACAGTGTGCAGAGAAATAGGTCTGACTCTTTTGTACAACATGCTACATTCAAGACCCACAAAGGTCAGGGGTTTCTGCACTCATTCACACACATATACACATGCACACACTGCTGGTGCTTTTCTTAAAAAATGTTTAGGGGTACTCTCATTCTGACTCAAGAAAACTGCCATTTTATAGTTCAAATCAGGGAAAATAAATACAGTAAATGGACAAAAGTACAGTCATACCTTGGGTTACAGACGCTTTGGGTTGTGCGTTTTCGGGTTGCGCACCGCGCCGAACCCGGAAGTACCGGAACAGGTTACTTCCGGGTTTCGCCACTTGCGCATTCGTAGAACCACTAATTGCACTTTACGCATGTGCAGAAGCACTGAATCGCAACCCGCACATGACGGACGCAGTGCTGCGGGTTGCGAACGCTGCGGGTTGCGAACGTGCCTCCTGCACGGATCACGTTCGCAACCCGAGCGTCCACTGTACAAAGAACATGCATTACTCATATTGAAATAATGCCCCCCAATGAGGCCAAACATTTGTCAGTAAAACACCACACATCCACATTCCACACTGCTTCACACATTAAACACTGACTTCCATCTGAGACTCAGGAAACACCATGACAGGAAATGAAGTCACCATCGGGGGTAGAAACAGAACTGACGAGTCACTGTGCTAGAGAAGAAACTAAAAAAATTAATATTTTTAGTTTCTTCTCCAGTTAGATTCACAAAATGTTTAGGGGTAGGCACTGCACATGGCTTTAAATCCTCCTTCCAGGCAAGCAAGAGGCATTATAACAGTTGTTGTTGTTGTTGTTGTTGTTGTTGTTGTTGTTGTTGTTGCTGCTGCTGCTGCTGTTGTTACCTTTTTCCCTGACAGGGACTCAAGGTGCTTGTTGATAAAACAGGAACAGCTAAAAACATGGGGGGGGGGGGAGGAACAATCATTAGAAAACAATTAAATGGTGATATAATTAAAGCTATATTTAAATATGAAAGAATCATTAAAAACATACAGATAATTACAAAAAAAAACCCAAGCTCAGTGCTGATACTGCAGAATATAAACTGATCCATATTCTTTATTTTATCTGTCTATCTATTTACCTACCTATCTCCTTTCGTATAAATTTCAATGTGCTTTGCAACCTTACAATACTACCATTAAAATCATAGTGTGCTTTTAAAAAAAGGAAGAAGAAGAAGAAGAAGAAGAAAACATACATAAATATCCAAGGCAGAGAATTAAAAAGAAATGTTGGAACAAGAACATCTTGAAATAACAGTTGCCTGTCATATCTCAACAGAGATGTTATTCCAACGAAAACAAGGGCAGCAGCTTGAAAGCCCTGATCGGATTTGCATCTGATATTTTAGGAGCCGCAAGGAGAGACTCTTCTGTAAAACTAAGTGATCTACTGGGCGTGGAAAGGTAAGGCAGTTTCTCAGCTAACCCAGTCCCAAGGCTCTTATATGTTAGTACCAAAACCTTGAACTTAGCCTGGGAGCACATTATTAGTAGTGCATTAAAATCTGCAGATGAAATCCCATTTCTAGTTCTCTTTTCTGAGTCCCAGCCAACTGGTTTTCTGTGGAATATCTACATGTGCCCTTGCGGGGAGGGTGTGCTTTTGTTCTGTTCCTTTAATATTGTAAATTGCTTGCTTCATTAAATACCTTGGATGCGTTTGTAGATATGCATGCTTCTTTATCAGGGTCAGGAATCAGTATGCTAGGGTACCTGCCGAAGTCCAGCAGAGGATGCACTGCTTGTCCCCAGATCCCTCTGGCCCTGTCTATTGCACCTAGTTCAGCTGCCTTCTTCAAATGCATGAGCATCAGTTAAGGAAAAGCAGCAAACTCTTACCATGGTTCCTCATTCAGGGCAGTCGTGCAGGTTGGGCACAGAAGTGGTGCAGGAGAGGACAATGAATGGGCTGTGTCCACAGTAGAGTAGCAAGAAGGTGAGCCTCACAAGGGGCATATTGCCTTGGGGCCCTGCAAAATCTGGAGTCAACTCTGTACTTTCTTACTTGCACTGCAATATGGGTTTTGTAGTCTTAAGGCTGCCCAAACAGGTACAGTCTTACTTTTCGAACAGCTTAGTTCTCGAATGTTTTGGTTCCTGAACGCTGCAAACCCAGAAGTGAGTGTTCCGGTTTGCAAACTATTTTTGGAAGCCAAACTTCCGACAGGGCTTCCATGGCTTCTGATTGGCGGCAGGAGCTTCCTGCCACCAGTCAGAAACCGCGCTTTGGTTTTTGAACATTTTGGAAGTCGAACAGAATTCCGGAACTGATTCCATTCAACTTCCAAGACTGTAGTCTTGTGCATATTCATTCTGCTCACAAGAATGAATATAGATTGGTGTGAAATAGCAGAAGAACACAGAGAGGTGTTAAAAAACTGAATATGAAAATGTACAGTGATTGGACAAGCATGTAAGTTACCAACATTTTTGAACCAGATATCAGCAGTGATAGATCTGCACTAGGTTACTCAGAACTGGGGTGCTGCAAATATGAAACAACAAGTGGTTATTTGTTATGTTTGCGTTCTACCTTTCTTCCAGGTTGCTCAGAGCAAGTCACATGGGATTGTCCCATTTTATCCTCACGGCAACTCTGAGAGGTCACTTAGGCTGAGAGACAGCAACCGATCCAAGACCACCTGCTGTGCTTTGCACTAGATGGGGGAACTGAACCCATATCTCCCTGATCCAAGTCTCACATGTCACCCATGATGGCTATACCACAGTGAGAGCAAAGTCATCTTTTGCTTGGGTCAATGAAATGGTACCACTGTCTGACATCACAGTGAATATCCCTACCTGTTGCCTAAAGCTCTTCGGAGACCCATCACACTTTTGATTTTGTGCTGGTCCTGTGGGTTAATGGTGAGGTGAGATTCGAGTCCAGTCCGAGGTCGAGGCTGCAGTATGGAGGCAGTCCATCAAAGCTGAAGCAGGGTCCAAGGCAGGGAGTCGGGTGAGGTCGGGAGCTCCGGCAGGACAGGGTGCAGGCAGGAACAGGCTACCAACAACATTGCTCCCGCAACTTGGGACTGGGGCTGGCTGGCTTTTATCTGCCCCGAGGCATAGGGCGGCTCCGGTCCACAGGTGACTTGCCTCTCCTGGCCTGGAGGCGAGCACTCCTCCTGCGGGAACTTAGTTCCCTCCACCTCTCTGCCCTGAGCCTCTGCAGTTCAGGAGAGGCTGGAGGGTTACCGGACCCAGAGGAAACCTCAGCTTCCCCTGATGGGGCTGAGAGTGGAGCACCTGCAGGCAATGGGTCCTCCATCACCTCAGGAGTCAGAGCAGACTCAGCTGGTGCCTGCACCTGAGGATCCAGCACAGGTGAGGACCCTTCAGGCTCAAGCCCCAGCCCCGGCTCAGCTGGTTCTGGAGGCGGGGAATCCTGTGCAGGCTGGGATTCCTCAGGTTCAGCCTCCGAGTCCGAATCCCAGGCCATCACAGATTTCTTATAGAGACATGCATTTCCATTCGTAGGAATCGGCAGTTTTTACATGTGATTAACCCGACTGTGACTAGACGTAGATCAAGAACTTTGCCCCTGCTCTTTCGTCTCTGTTGATTTGTATCGAAGACATCTTTTGTATTTCAGTGAAAGTACCCACCTTTCTATTCCCAAATCTCTTTTCGAGTATCATGCCTTCTCATGAAACCCTTTAGTAGCAATCCATCATTTGCAGAAGCGTTATCACTTAACGCTCGGCCGAGGACAGAAAATTCACGCTTCGGGCCGGCATGGCACCAAGTCAGCGTTTGTGCCCGCGGCATACTTGATCACCTTCGGCAAGTACTGACTTTTTAATGTTGCAATATTAATCAGTGTTATTATTTTAATTGCGTAGAGCGCCCCCTGATCAATAGAGGCAGGCTTTTATCTTCATAATTGATCCCTTATTCATAACTATGCAGATTTTCAACCTCATGCTTGTATGTTTTCCCCCAACCGAATAGAAAAGAAATACAGTTATTTCACCATACCTAAGGCTGAGACGACATTTATTCTATTGCTATTACTGGAATACTGTTGTTTGTACTTATGGAAGATAGCAGGAGGCAAGGTCATGCGTCCTGTTTTGCAGAGGACAAAGGACTCTGTTTGAAGACCTGCCCTAGTCCGGTTTAAGAGCCGTTCTGCACTTAACTTTTATACTGGAATAGTTGCCAGTGGGTGGGTTGGGGTGAGATTTTTTGGCAAGTTGCCAACAATTTGAGCATCATTTTTCTTGTTTATTTGTTTATGTTATTTATTTTGTGTCCTAAAACCAATGCACCGCTTGATTGTAAAATCGAAACAAGAAACCTCAGAGCAGTTTACCTAAATATTAATAATAATAATAATAATAATAATAATAATAATAATAATCCACAGGAAAAATTAACAACAGTACACACACACACACCAATTAAATGGGAGTTACATTCGGGGACCCCATGCACATAAACAAAAAGCGTGTAAAAGTGGGGAGCTCCCTCTAAGCACCCTTTAAATGCCCACTCTGCCACTCTCTCTCCTATCCATACCAAAAATACTGTGTCCAAAAATATTCACAACTAGAATTGAAGCTCTGGGGCTGGCAGGAGGCTGCCGGATGTGTGGTAATGTGGCTGCGCTACCACGAGCCTCAGCTGTTAGGCGGGGAGGCTGAGCAGTGTCAATAAAGCTCCACTGTTCCTCCAGTCCTTTGGAGGCTCCCTCTGCCCTCACTGATGTCCTCTTCGGGCTCCAAGGAGGGTCTCCTCACGAGCCACAAGGACTCTCCAGCTCTCTCCCGCCATTAAATTCTTTATCTATTTCCTGGTGCCACACATATACGCGGCCATGCACAAGTCGGTCTCATGCAAGTGGGGAGATGCCTGTTATCTGAGACTTTAGAAAAGTTCAAGTAGCAATAGATTAAAAACAGATTAAATCTCGCATCAACTTCTGGGTAGGCTTGTCTAAACATACAAACAAACAAAATTCAGCAGGTGCTGAAAAGAGTACAGTGCCCGATATTAATAGGCAAGGAGTCCCAAAGTCTTATGATTATTATGGGGCACCTGTATCACTGCCACTTCTGCCAGCCTAAGTGGTTGAGTGATTGTACATGCAAGTAAGGCCATCTCGTAGGTAAATCATTTGGCTAGTATTCCAAAATAATGTACAGTCATACCTCGGGTTACAGAAGCTTCAGGTTGCGTTTTTTCAGGTTACGGACCGCCGAAACCCGGAAGTACCGGAACGGGTTACTTCCGGGTTTCGGCAGTCACGCATGCGCAGAAGCGCTAAATCAAGCTTTGTGCATGTGCAGAAGCACCGAATCGCAACCTGCACGTGCGCAGACGTGCAGACACGGGTTGCGGACACTGCAGGTTTTAAACGTGCGTCCTGCACAGATCATGTTCGCAACCCGAGTGTCCATTGTACTCAAATAACTTGCTTTCCTTATACCACAAAAAAAATCCAACTTTTGTAATTGATCCAGAATGGATCTTCAATGTTTTCCAGCATGTGTACCAGCATCCTACCTCTTCCCAGATAGAGGGGGGTCCATGTTGCTGGGCATGGTTTGTGAACCATGTGCACCACCACCTTCTGACCGGCACATACCGTCAGTTCACAAGCTCAGTTCAGAGGAGAGATATGGCAGACAGAGACTATGGAACTGAGTCAAAGCCCTGCCCATGACAGCAATCATTAGCTGCATATAAAATTTTATGAGAAGAACGAGGTTGTTGAGGTCGGCCATAGCTCAGGAAGACACACGGTTCCCCTTCTAATTTCCTATATTCTCACAAGATTAGTATTCCGGAATACTAGGCATTAAATACATATATTTTGAAAACTCTGGAAGGGCTTTCCCCATTCTCACGCACAGAACTCTGACATTTACTGGCTGGGGGAATGTGAAGGTCTTTTAGTGCTGTGACCTCAGCCATGGAACTTTTCTCAATTTGGGCACAGCCCACCATTAGCATGGAGAGGAAAAACCCCACAATCACACTCTAAGAATTAGCAACATGTGAGCAAAGGTGCAGAAAGCTACAAATTTGCTCTTAAAAACACCGGCTCAAACAGAAACTAAAGGTAAAGGGAACCCTGACCATTAGGTCCAGTCGTGACCGACTCTGGGGTTGTGGCGTTCATCTCACTTTATTGGCCGAGGGAGCTGGCGTACAGCTTCTGGGTCATGTGGCCAGCATGAGTAAGCCACTTCTGGCAAACCAGAGCAGCGCACGGAAACGCCATTTACCTTCCCGCCGGAGCGGTACCTATTTATCTACTTGCACTTTGACATGCTTTCAAACTGCTAGGTTGGCAGGAGCAGAGACCGAGCAACGGGAGCTCACTCCGTCACGGGGATTCGAACCGCTGACCTTCTGATCGGCAAGCCCTAGGCTCTGTGGTTTAACCCACAGCGCCACCCGCGTCCTCTCCAAACAGAAACTAGGGCACTATAAATGGTAAGCATAGGAAATCCCTAATTTGTTTTTGTTTTGTTTTTTAGCAGCAGGGCCTTGAAATAGAGTTAGCAGCACACTATCCAAGCACCTTCAAGGACAGTGCCTGGTTTATCTCCAGCAAAAGATCCTCTCTCCTCGCTAGGAGGTGTGTGTAAAAGAGGCCCATAGGTGGCAGGCCCACACTGGCCTCCATCAAATGAGGCCCACAATACTGAGTGCATGGCTTGGGGTGAAAAGAAGCTGTGCATTTAAGCTGTGAGGGATCACAAAAGTTACTTCTCCAAAGACCTCTGTGGTCAGGCAGGGATATAAGGAATTAGGTGGTCCAGGAGGTATCCTGAACCCAAGGAGTAAATGAATGCAAGAACCTTGAACCTCGTCATGAGGGCACAAAGCTTGCAGCCACTGCTCATCGACTAAGTTTAGCCAGTCGCACCTGGAATACTGTGTCCAGTTCTGGACAACACAATTTATGACAGGCGATGACAAACTGGAACGTGTGCAGAGGAGGGTACCCAAGATGATCAAAGGTCTGGAAAGTATGAATAATGTTTGAAGGAGCCGGGTATGTTTAGCCTGGAAAAGAGTAGACAGAGAGGAGATATGATAGCCATCTTCAAATATCTCAAGGGCTGTCACATGGAAGAAGGAACAAGCTTGTTTCCTCCTGCTCTGTAGGGTATGACTCAAATTAATGGCTTCAAGAAAGGAGATTCCAGCTAAACATCAGGAAGAACTTTCTGACAGTGAGAGCTGTTTGATGGAGGAATGGACTTGTGGACTCTCCATCCTTGGAGGTTTTTTAGCAGAGGTTGGATGGCCATTTGCCATGGATGCTGTAGCTGAGGTTCTTGCACTGCAGAGGTTCCTTCCAACTCCATAATTCTATGACCACTCTAGAAGAGCCTTGCTAAAGCTGGTGCCCTCAAGACGTTTCCAACCACAACTCCATCATAAAAGGACTGTAGCTCAGTGGCAGACCATCTGCTTTGAATACAGAAGATCCCAGATTTAATTCCTGGCCCTGGCCTTTCCAGATAGGGCTTGGAATGTCCTCTGTCTGATACCCTTGAGAGCCACTGTATTGCCAGCCAGTGTAATAATAATAATAATAATAATAATAGTAATAATAATAATAATAATAATAATTTTTATTTATACCCCGCCCTCCCCAGCCAAGGCCGGGCTCAGGGCAGCTAACAAGCAATAATAAAAACAAGTTGAATGAATACAACTTTAAAACAAAATTAAAATACAACATTAAAACATTGAAACATTGAAATATTAAAATGTAGCCTCATTGCAGGAGGAGAAAGGAAAAGAAAAAAGAAAGAGGGGGAGGGAATCAAATTGGCTCCAAGCCAAAGACCAGATGGAAGAACTCTGTCTTATAGGCCCTGTGGAAAGAAATCAGATCCTGTAGGGCCCTGGTCTCATGAGACAGAGCGTTCCACCAGGCCGGAGCCAGAGTTGAAAAGGCCCTGGCTCTGGTTGAAGCTAATCTAACTTCCTTAGGGCCTGGGACCACTAGGGTGTTGCTATTTATGGACCTTGAGGCTCTCCATGGGGCATACTGGGAGAGGCGGTCCCGTAGGTACGAGGGTCCTAGGCCGCGAAGGGCTTTAAAGGTCAAAGCCAGCACCTTAAATCTGACCCTGTACTCCACCGGGAGCCAGTGCAGCTGGAAAAGCACTGGGTGAATATGCTCCCATGGCAGAGACCCCGTGAGGAGCCTCACTGCAGCATTCTGCACCCACTGGAGTTTCTGGGACAGCTTCAAGGGCAGCCCCGCGTAGAGTGAATTACAGTAGTGAAGCCTGGAGGTGACCGACGCATGGATCACTTGTGTAGACAAGACTGAGCTAGATGGACCAATGGACGAGGCAGCTTTCTGTGTTCCTATCCTCCCTGACCATTGGCCGTGCTGGGATATATCTGGAGGGCACCAGATTGGGGGACGCTGCTCGAGACAAACATCTTCAGCAGGCAAACTCCTCCACAAATTTAATGTTGTTTGAAGCACGGCAGGGAAACTTCTCTGAAGCAAATCATTGGTCTGCCCTCCTGGGGTCCTATATTTTCCCCCCTGCTGGGGCATTTCAGTTGTCCCCATGGTGCTGAACCACTAAGGAGGTTATATGCCGGGAGGACAATGTAACAGGCAAGCAATGGCTCGGGTTAAGTGGTGTGTTAGGTCATCAGCGTTTGTGGTCATTTGGATGATCTTCCAGGCCACTGTATACTCTTGGGGTGCGGGGAGAGTTTACATTTTAATGGAATCAAAGGGGCAGGGAAGGAGCAATTTAACACAGCGGCAAACACTTCCCTCTAGGCGGGACTGCTCTCTGCTTTCTTGCTGAAGGACAATGTGCTCCTGCTAAGTAGCTAATGAAAGGGAAAGCTCCATGAAGAGTGGATGGCAGCAGCAGGTGGATCCAGAAGAAAAACAAAGAAGCCTGACCAAGAAGGAGACATCAAGCAGTACCATAAAGGTGAGACTGTGAGATTTAAGAACAGTGAAAAGAGGATGGCACATTAAGCTATTATTGTTCCTGATGCCACTATCATCATCATCATCATTATTATTATCATTATCATCATCTCAGAAATTCATTGTTAAGCAACTCTCTTCTTTATGAGCAAAAGCTCTCATTACTTCCCTTAACTGGGGAAACATTGTAGTTGTGCTGGGCCCGGGGGTTAACTCAAGCAACGCAGTCCAGGTCTGGTCCTGAATCCAAGGATTCCACGAGGAGTCAGTCCAACAAGGCCAAGGCAGGAAACCAGGCTAAGTCAGGCACAGGGTAATAGGCAGGTTCCAGCAAGCAGCAATGTTGCTCCCGCAACCTGGGGTGGGGTCCTGCAGTCTTTTATCTCTGACTGAGTAACGGCCAGTCCTGATCCCCCGATGACTTACCTCCCTGTCTTGCCCAATGGCGAGCACTCCTCCTGCGAGTACTCAGGTCTCTTCTTCTCTCAGGCCTGAGTCTCTGCAGCTCGGGAGATGTCGGTGGGTTACTAGACCCAGAAGACACCTCAGCCTCTCCTGACCCAACTGGTAGTGGAGCAGCTGCACGTGAGTGCCCAGCAGAGGGCAACAAGGTAATCCCCGCATCTGGAGCCAGGGCAGGCTCAGGCCCCTGACTTGGCTCAGCTGGTGCTTGTTGCAGGGGAACCTGTGCAGAATGGGGCTCTTCAGAATCAGGCCCCAGACTCAGTTCAGATGCCACCTGAGGCAGAGGATCCGGTGCGGACCAAGACTCCTCCGGTTCCGAGTCTGAGTCCCAGGCCATCACACCAGTCAATGACATTTTTATTCCAGGTATTTCTAGTAACAGATTCACAGAAACATCGATAAGGCAGGTTTTACGTATTTGTTTTCCAAGCCATAAATCAAATATCTGCTTGTCTTCCATCCATCCTCTTTACTTCCCTGATTCCAGGGCTGGTACCTGCAGCCAGCCTCTTTGGGGGCACTTCACCCAGGGTCCATTCAACCCAGGAGATGGTCCTCCCTGGTTCCTTGTCACATAAGAACGCGTCACCGTTTTTCGTGCTGATTCACACTTGGCCACACTCCACTTAGGGCGAACGCCTAGCCCTAACCACTCCCTAGCAGAGTTTAGCAGAGTGGTGGGCCCACTGCCAAGCATACCAGCTGGAAAATGGGGGGGGCAGCCAAATTGCTGCATGTCATCAGTGAGGCTGGCTCAGGATCTAACACAGGCTTCCTCAACCTTGGCCCTCCAGCTGTTTTTGGCCTACAACTCCCATCATCCCTAGCTAGCAGGACCAGTGGTCAAGGATGATGGGAACTGTAGTCTCAAAACATCTGAAGGGCCGAGGTTGAGGGAGCCTGATCTAACAGATTCTTGCCTAGATCAACCCAGAATTCCAGGGCTTTGTTCTGTTAAATCTTTAAAATATCCTCTTCTAATTTCTGCCCCCCAAAGTTCACTACTTCCCTTAGCACAGAAAGAGACTAGTAAGTTAAACATGGTTTACTTACAAACTCTTCAAAGGATTCATGTGCTTTTCCATACAGGAGTAAGAAAACACAGGCAGTAAGATTTAGATCCCAAAGTGCTGAGAGCTTTGAAATTATTTGTAAAGAAACACAAAGATGGCTTGCTTAAGCCACACGGTCTAAAAAGATGCTGCAAGTTATTTGATTAATTAATAAATCAGCAGCAGCATCTTATTCTTATTACCCACCACACATCATAAGGTCCTAGAGTGGATCACAGCAATTTAAAATACAACATTAAACACTGTTTAAATGAATTATGGTGGTGAGAGAGAGAGAGAGAGAGAGAGAGAGGGAGGGAGGCCAGGGTAAAAAGGTGTGTGATGCCAATGAAATCAGGTGACCTAGTTCCCAAGCAATGCAGACATATATTGCATCAATTATTTTTAAAAGCATTTTCATACACAGAGTTCCAAAAATTGTCTCAACAACAATTCTTCATTTCAAGCCTACACCCAATTCAGCTCTGACAGATCTTCTTTTCTTTCTTTCTTTAAGATCATTTACACATTATGTGAAATATGAACAAACAATAGATTTATATAGTCACACTGATATTCTGCCACGGTTTTCTCCATCTCCCCTTTAATAGTTCTTAATGCTGTTTGCCTTGCTACTGCGCTGAACTCAGCTGACATCTTCAGTGAACTGTCCGCATTGACTGCAAAATTCTTTTCCTTGGTGGCAAAAACCAATTTAGAACTGTAAACACAGACTTCACTCGGTTTACCTTTCTTTAGTAGTTGCTTTCTCCTGTTAATACAGGGGATGCTAAAATAGGAAATCGGCATGATACTTAAATCTCCCACCCTCAGTATATTTACTTTAAACTAAATCTTGTGGAATACGGTTTAGCTTGATGTTTGTGAGGTAAATAAATGTCTCCTTTTATTACTATAATGATGCCAATCCAAACTAAAGCTTCATCTGTACTCTACATTTAAAGCAGTATCATAGAATCATAGAATTGTAGTGGAAGGGACTCCAAGGGACATCTAGTCCAACCCCCTGAAATGCAGTAATCTCAGCTAAAGCATCCATGACAGATGGGTGATAGGTGGGTTTGTGAGTAAAAGAAATAAAAACAGTGGTACCTTGGTTCTCAAACTTAATCCATTCCGGAAGTCCATTCCAAAACCAAAGCGTTCCAAAACCAAGGTGCGCTTTCCCATAGAAAGTAATGCAAAACAGATTAATCCATTCCAGACTTTTAAAAACAACCCCTAAAACAGCAATTTAACATGGATTTTACTATCTAACGAGACCAACTGATCCATAAAATGAAAGCAATAATCAATGTACTGTACTATAAAATAAATAAGACAGTATTGTAAATGATAAAAATTAAAATTATTATTTTTTCTTACCTGCAGTGATGAGAGTCACTGTTTGGATGGGGGGCTTTTATCCATTTCCGCAGTCACACAATCAGTCAATCGGTAGCTGAACTGGGTTCCACACAGTCACAAAAACAAATTGACTGAAAAAGCCTCAAAAGCAAAAATGCAAAACAAATAGCAGAAACAAAAGCACCAAACTTAATCTGTTCCAGACGTCTGTTTGATTTCTGAAATGTTTGAAAACCAAGGCGCAGCTTCTGATTGGTGCAGGTGCCCCGGAAACAATAGCCGACAACCACATTGGATGTTCAGCTTCCGAAAATGGTTCGGAAACCAGAACACTTATTCCAGGTTTTCAGCATTTGAGAAGCAAGGCGTTTCAGAACCAAGGCACCACTGTAAAACAAATACCTACCCATTAGCTATTACCCAATTCTTGGGTGTGAAAAAAATATGCCCACTGGATGTGAATGTTATTCAAATTCAGAATACTATTTTCCTAGGTTTCAGATAGTATCAGGAATTTGGGAATCTATGGCATTCATTAGGCCTAGTTTTCTACTTTAAAAGGTAAAGGTAAAAAAACCCCTGACAGTTAAGTCCAGTTGCAGATGACTCTGGGGTTGCAGTGCTCATCTCATTTTACAGGCCAAGGGAGCCGGCGTTTGTCTGCAGACAGCTTTTCTGGCACAACGGAACCAGAGCAGTGCACAGAAACGCTGTTTACCTTCCCGCCGGAGCAGTACCTATTTATCTACTTGTACTTTTTGGCGTGCTTTCGAACTGCTAGGTTGGCAGGAGCAGGGACCGAGCAACGGGAGCTCGCCCTGTCGCGGGGATTCGAACCGCCAACCTTCTGATCGGCAAGCCCAAGAGGCTGAGTGGTTTAGACCACAGTGCTGCCCGCATCCCTAGTTTTCTACTTACAGCCTTTATATGTCTGAGATCATCCTTCTATGGATCTCTTCACCTAGAGTTAATGGCGAAAGTACTAACAAGAGATGACAAATCAAGAATATTAGACAAGAGATGGTTATATAAATTTACCATGTCTTCAGGCAATGTAAGGAGAGAGTAGTCCCCAGGGAGGAACTATGGATGTTATCAAAGAGCTAAGCTAGTGTTATTGTCTTTAATGGAAAGAAGTGGCATTGATCTCCAGGATCCCCTGCAGCTAATGGCCAAAGTAAATTCTTTTAAAGCCAATGATGCTGTGTGACACGGTCAAAAATGCAGGAACCAACTTAGCAATACAAAAATGCTGGTCACCATGCTCTGTTATGGCTTGCACCATTCAGTTCTGCATTGTAGGAACCTGCCCAGGCATTGACATCTGCCTCAAAGGTTCAGTTCATGCCTTAGCAGAGAGGCCTGGAGGGACACATTGGGCCTGCAGGCCTGAGGTTCCCCACCCCTATGTTAACCAGAAACCCACACCCAGTCCTACCATGAGGCAGAGTGAATCAGCTGTCTCAGGCAACAAACAATGCGGGCCAAAGCTGAGTGTGCCACATGGTCCAGCTTGTAGCCCATGGGTAGGCAAACTAAGGCCCGGGGGCTGGATACGGCCAGTCGCCTTCTAAATCTGGCCCGCGGACGGTCCGGGAATCAGTGTGTACATGAGTAGAATGTGTGCTTTTATTTAAAACGCATCTCTGGATTATTTGTGGCCCCTGCCGGGTGTTTTTACATGAGCAGAATGTGTGCTTTTATTTCAAAATGCATCTCTGGGTTATTTGTGGGGCATAGGAATTCGTTCATTATTATTATTATTTTCAAAATATAGTCTGGCCCCCCACAAGGTCTGAGGGACAGTGGACCGGCCCCCTGCTGAAAAAGTTTGCTGAGCCCCAAGCTATCGTGCTGCCCTCAGGTTCCGTGGAGGACGTTCTCCCACAGAATTAAGATTCAGGACAGATTTTCTGCATGGAATTGTGGGTGGGTGAGGCGCCATCTTGTCCTTCGCCTCAGGCAGCAGAATGTCTTGGGCTGGCCCTACAGAGAGACTCCCCAGCTGCAAACTATTCCTTTCCAGCATTTATAATATCTGCTGAATCCCCACTTACCCAATCACCTTGGAAAGCCATTTAACGGCGCACAAAGGAAGTGGGAGCCGGCAGCGCCGCATTATAATCTCTAATACCTTGTCGCCGTGATTCCAGCCTCCCAGGAATGAAGCTGGTGTCAAAGATTTAATGCGTTTTCACATTAGTGATATCAGCACAAAATGGGCCATCTTCCCTGAATAATTTATCTTCCCTGTGCATAATATTCTAACTTTCTCCCTCCTCCCCACCCCGCCCCTCTGTTCTTTTGGTTTTTCCACTATGCAGTAGGTGGGAGGTAACTGTCTGTTAGTCCTCAAAAGGGGGGGCGGGGAGAAAAACCCTGCAGAGCATCCTTCCCATCAATCAATTAAAAAACACTTACCTTACACTCAACATGATTTATTTTTTGTTAATACAATTGTCTCACTATACTCTTCTATTATTATACCCTTAATTCCATTAGCCGCTTGCTTTAATGCTGTCTTGAAAGTTGACCCCCGAGTAAGAGAAAGGAAGTTGGCTTAAGAGCAAGGGGGAAATGCCAATACTGTTCTGGAAGCACTTATCTTCAAAGACTTGTAGGTCGGTTTTTTAAATCATCATCATCATCATCATCATTTATAGTTAATAATAATAATAATAATAATAATAGACAGGATGCGTCCCAGAAAATTTTGCACTTGGGGGGCATGGTTAGATTCCATGCATTTGCCATTAAATATCTTGCTGGCTCCCAGTTGCACACACATTGCCAGATATAATGATCTGTCATTCGACAGGTGAGTGAATCTAACGTTCCCCCGCCAGAACTTGGCAAAGTCGAGGGAGCCTCCTGCCTCCATCCTAATAAATGGAATGTTGATCCGCACCGAGGTGAGCCTAATGCAAGCTCTCATAAGTGCTTTTAATGGATGATGGGAGCCTGATGGCAGCACTCCACCCCGAGCCAAAACCCTCATTAACGTCATTGGGAGATTTGGCTGAGTAAGGCGGTTGGAGCCCGATTCGCAGGTAGCATTAGTGGCGCTTTGTCATATCCAATAACCTTAGAACAAGCAGCAATGAGATTATTAGCAATGAGATTATTAGCAATGAGAGCCAGTGTGGTGTAGTGGTTAAGAGCAGTAGACTTGTAATCTGGGGAACCGGGTTCGCGTCTCCGCTCCTCCACATGCAGCTGCTGGGTGACCTTGGGCCAGTCACACTTCTCTGAAGTTTCTCAGCCTCACTCACCTCACAGAGTGTTTGTTGTGGGGGAGGAAGGGAAAGGAGAATGTTAGCCGCTTTGAGACTCCTTCGGGCAGTGATAAAGCGGGATATCAAATCCAAACTCTTATTATTTTGTTGGTGCCCACAAGTGAAAGAGTGGCTGTCATGAGCTGGTTGCACACAGAGGAATGGTGGGATGAAGCAGCTGGAGAACCACCAAGGGAAGAGGGCTCAGAGCTTGGACATTGGTGGTGGGATGACAATGACAATGACTGGAAAGAGGAGGTAGCTGAAAAGGTAACAGAGCTTCGTGGGGTGGGGGTTGTCTGTGGCAGAGGGAACCAGAGGAAGAAGCTGAAGCAGAAAAGTGGGAGGAGAGAGGCCAAGAGGCAGAGATAAGTCAGGCTGGTGAAGAGCCATGGGTATCTTCAGCTCCTACTCGGACAAGCTCCCCTCTCCCTTGTCTCCCAGAACCAAAGAGGCATAAAGACCAGGGGGAAGGTGAGCTGGTCACGAGGGGGAGACACCCGAGCTTCTTCACCAGCCTGTGCTGGGCCCGGGGGCAACCCAAGCAACGCGGTCCAGGTCCAGTCCCAAATCCAAGGGTTCCGCTTGGAGTCAGTCTGACAGGGCCAAGGCAGGAAAGCAGGCAGGTTCTAGCAAACATCTACATTACTCCCACAACCTGGGGTGGGGTCTGACAGCCTTTTATCTCTGTCGGGGGAACGGTCGGTCCTGATCCCCCGGTGACTCACCTCCCTGTTTTGCCCGAAGGCGAGCACTCCTCCTGTGCTTACTCAGGTCTCTCCTTCTCTCAGACCTTAGTCTCTGCATCTCAGGAGATGTCGTGGGTTACTAGACCCAGAGGCCGCCTCAGCCTCTCCTGACCCAACTGGTAATGGAGCAGCTGTAAGTGATTGCCCAGCTGGAGGCAATGAGGTACCGTATTTTTGCCCTATAGGATGCACCGTCCCATAAGGCGCACCTAGTTTTTTGGGGGGGAAATAAAGGGGAAAAAATTATTTTCCCCCCAGGCGCGGGGCTGGGGCGGGGAAAACCTGAGCTTCCCCCAACCATAGCCCCCAGAACAGGCAACTCTCCGCAAGCCGTGGGAGCCCGGCGCCAGGCTCCCGCGCCTTGCGGAGAGCTGTGTGAAGCCTGGGCGCGCTGAGCTCAGCACGCCCAGCCTTCGGCATGCAGGCAACTCTCCGCAAGCCGCGGGAGCCCAGCGCGGGCTCCCACGGCTTGTGGAGATCTGCTCGATGCCTGGAGAGCGGGAGGGGTCGGGGGAAACCGACCCCCCTCGCGCTCCAGGCTTCAGCAAAGCCTGCCTTTGCCCCATAGGACGCACACACATTTCCCCTTCATTTTTGGAGGGGGAAGTGTGTCCTATGGGGCAAAAAATACTGTAATCCCTGCATCTGGAGCTGGTGTTTGTTGCAGGGGAACCTGGGCAGACTGGGGCTCTTCAGAATCAGGCCCCAGACTAGGTTCAGCTGCTGCTTGAGGCAAAGGATCCGGTGCGGGCTGAGACTCCTCTGGTTCCGAGCCCGAGCCCGAGTCCCAGGCCATCACACAGCCTAACTCACCTCTGCTTCTTGCCGTCTTTCTTCTCCTGCTTCCACTTCTGGTTCTGATTCTGGATTTCTCTCTGCCACAGACTCTTCCTGCTCACTAAACCCTGTTACCTCTTCAGCTTCCAACACCACCTCCTCCCAGGCTTCTCCCTCTTCTAATTCTGACCACTCATCATCATCCCATCGCTAATCCCCGGGCTCTGAGCCTTTGTCCCTTGGAGGTTCCTCAGCTGCTGCCTCCCACCATTCCAGCCAGTCCATGACATGTTTTCTCAATGTAAATCCCCACGCAATCAGAGGTTTCTGTTTGCCCTGTTAGAGAAAATGTATGGATACCCATAGGTTTTGCCTAGTGGAACAAATGACAGCTTTTTGGAGGGGAGGAGGTTACGTTGGAAAACAGCCAGGGGAGAAAGGGTAAAATGCTTACCCAACACCAGAATCCTGACCCAATTTAAAATAAAAATGTAAAGATCAGAAATTCCAGGACGATCAGAAATTCCAGAAAAACTGGAGTAAATTTATGGTATATTTAAATGATAACTGTAAAAATTTAAAGACACTAGCAAGATTGAAGTAATTCCTACAATGTAGACAGGAGGTTAAGATGTAAAGAGTTAGAATACGCGATTGGATTTGATAAGGGATACCAGCTGAAGAGAAGGAGGGAAGTCCCAAGCTCTGCACAGCAAAAAGGCTTATATGTTGATTAATGTATTGTTTGAATAAGTGTATAAAGAAAATAATAACAATTTATTGGGGGAAAATAAAATAAAAATAAAAATGTAAAGACACAGGAAATTAACTCACCTCTCTCCCGTGTATAATTTAGGGTTGCTATATTTGCAAAAGTGAAAATCCGGACAGAGTTGTTGAGATTTTTTTTTGGGGGGTGGACCTTGCCCTGCCTGATTTTGAGAAGATGGCATAAGGGCACTTAGATGCTCCTGCAGCCCTGGCACTGCTTTTCCAAAGCAAGACCAGCCTCCCTTCCCCTCACTCCAAAGTCAGCTGTCTGAAGGAGCTCTGGAAACCGTCAGAGGGACGAGGGACTTTGGGAAGCGGAGAAAAGGAGAGAATCCCGGAAAAGGAAAGAGGGAGAAGGAAAGGAAGAGGGTTGCAAGGGGAGAGGGGAGTGCTGGGGAGGCGTCCAGGCAGGAGGCAGGAAGCAAAGGGCTGAAAAAGCCATGCAGTGGTCGCCTCGCTCTTCCCGGCAGACGGGGCAGCGGAAGCAGCCCAGGTGGCACTGCAAAGCCCTCTTGACCCAGAGGGTGCCGAGGCCAGTGGAGGAGCGGTGACAGCAGTAACAGCATGTCCCTCATGACGGCCCCTTCGCAGAGCTAGAGCTCCCTGGAGCCCAACAGCGGTGACGGTGGTGACCCTTCTGTCAGGTCCAGTTGGGCACCGGCGCCATGCCACTTTTTGAACCACTTTTGAGCCGCTCAAGAAACAACAACCTGTTTTTCAGCTTTTGGGACATTTTCAGCAAGGAATCACCCCCATTGCCATACGTCTAGATCTGCCCTTCTCAACCTGTGGGTCGCCAGATGTTGTTGAACTACAACTCCCATCACCCTTAGCTAGCAAGGCCAGAGCTCAGGGATGATGGGAGTTGTAGTCCAACAACATCTGGGGACCCACAGGTTGAGAACCGCTCATTTAGCCGATTTTGGGAAATTCCCCTCGGGCGCCATTTTCATCATTTGAATTCCAGGCATGTCTGGGAAAATCCGGGCGTATGGCAACCCTAGTATAATTTAGCCCTAAACTATGGATCCTGGTTAATCTCCAGAGTCATATCAACACCCTACAAATGGGTTCCATTTGTCAGTGATTCATAAGTTGTCTTATCCCCAGGGTTGTGATCCAACTAAAAAAATTTGGCGATTAATCAAAATGTGTGTATTACCAAAACTTCATGACAGGACCTTTTTTGAGATATGAAAGTAAGAGTGATATAATATGACTTCGAATAAGCAAAAGCTACCACTCGTGGGAAGAAAGGAAGGCCAACTTTAATATTTACTTTTTTTCTTTCCCTCATATGGTAACAGACTGGAACTAAAATAGCCTCAAACTGGGGGCTGGGGGCTGGAAGGAAACGTACCCTGCACTCTCAGCCTCATCAATTAAAACTGAGATTGCCAATTAAAGCTTGCAGTACTGCTAATTAGTGGCTAGGTAGAAAATAAAATGAACCTTGTTTTCCTTTTTCAGCAAATAACCTAACATCGGCATATGTGCAGAGAGATGCAGATTGGCTTGTGATTGCCAGAGGACCACAATCATCATGTTCCTTTCGAGAGCAAACTTGGGTGGTGAGTGCTGACGAGACTGGAGCCAAAAAACAGACGCTGAGGAACAAGGAGGAGGTCTCGCCATGCTTGTGTGAACCCCAAGTGTGGTGATCACACACAGGGCCCCCAGACGTTTGACGGTCTATTGACCCTGTGCCGCCACTGCGATTGCTTTTTCCGCTGCCACCACCCCGTATCTCACGGAGACACACGGAGTCCAGTCAGTTGTTAACATAAACAAATAATCAAGTTTATTTTTAAATGCAGGAACAAGCTTATGGTTTCAGTTAATTTTTCTCTTGTCAGTTTCTTTCTTAGTTCCTAACAACTCCAAATTGATTATTTCAACTATCTATCTGACTCCACCTAACAATTCCTCTCACTCTCTCACAATACAACTCTACCAACCCACACCTAAACCTCCCTCTTCCTTCTTCAGCTCCCAAACCTCAGCCCAACTCAACTCCCAAACCTCAACTGACTTCCAAAACCTCCCACTCTAACTTTTATTCCCCCCTTGCATTCTCACTGGCCAATCACATCACACCTATTTTAACCCTTTCCTTATGACCCATCCTAGGAGGCAAACGCCACACCAAGTTATATAGAAGTAGAAAGCAATTTATTAAAAAATGGAAAAGCAAATGCAGCCACAATAGAAGATCCAAAATAAACTTAGTGAGGTGTGAGCATGCTCAGTGGCTTCCAGGATCTATGGAATATTAAGTATCAGTTCGAAAAGAAAAATAGAAAATCCAAAGGCCGGTGAGAATTGGCCTGGTTAAAACTATTACAGCTTATAGTAACATGGAGATGGGTGCATGGCTGAGATGGAAGCTTGAACACATGTACTTCTGCTAGGTGTGAGGAGTAGCAGTGGCGGGGGGGTGATTTGGTTCATATTTAAAGGTGAGCCCACTTGAACTGCCGCCTTTTGAAATTTGCAGTTCTCTGAATTTTGCAGTGCAGTTCTCCAACCAAGTGATGTGTACAAAAATGCATATACTAAGATAAACCTAGACAGCATCTTAAAAAGCAGAGACACCACCTTGCCAACAAAGGTCCGTATAGTTAAAGCTATGGTTTTCCCAGTAGTGATGTATGGAAGTGAGAGCTGGACCAAAAAGAAGGGTGATCGCTGAAAAATTGATGCTTTTGAATTATGGTGCTGGAGGAGACTCTTGAGAGTCCCATGGACTGCAAGAAGATCAAACCTATCCATTCTGAAGGAAATCAGCCCTGAGTGCTCACTGGAAGGACAGATCCTGAAGCCGACGCTCCAATACTTTGGCCACCTCGTGAGAAGAGAAGACTCCCTGGAAAAGACCCTGATGCTGGGAAAGATGGAGGGCACAAGGAGAAGGAGATGACAGAGGACGAGATGGTTGGACATTGTTCTCGAAGCTACCAGCATGAGTTTGACCAAACTGAGGGAGGCAGTGGAAGACAGGCGTGCCTGGCATGCTCTGGTCCGTGGGGTCACAAAGAGTCATTCATAACTAAATGACTAAACAACAAGGTAAAGTGGGCCTAAAATTTATATTTTAGTAAAAAAAACCAAAAAACATTGTATTCAGGGAAACTGTCCTGCAAAAAAAATTGGATATTGGGACAAATTCACCCTAAAATGCTGGTGAATTTTCACGATTACTTAATAATAATAATACAGAATTGCAAACTAACATGGAAATGTGAAGAACTCTACTTAAGATTGGGAAAATGAGAAACTGAGAGGAACCAACTCTGACAGATTCACTCATTCCTCGATGCGCCGCAACATTTTGTTGTCAAATGTCTTTTTCCTGAAACAAATGTAGTAGCTCCTCCCCAGGTAAGACATCTGAAGAATTTCAGGGAAAAGGGGAAAATAAAGTTTTGGTAGGACTAGTCAGATGTCTTGTGGGAAAGATGGGTTTACACTAAAGTGGCCAGATTGGTGCTTCTTCCTCCAGTAAAACATCTGAGAACTTTTTAAGGGGGGTGGGGGAGAGAGAGGGAGGGAGATTTAATAAAAGTTGCAAGATGGCAGGCACATCCCTAATTAACAACACATGTATTCTAGAAAGCACCCTCTACAGAACGCAGTTAGGAGAGGAGGCGTTTAATTTCCCAGCATGCCTCTAGACGTTTTCCAGGTGGTCCTACCTTCTAGCGTGACTTAGGGTGTCATGGAGCTTACAACAATACTTTGTGCTGTGTCGTATTTACACAGATTGTAACCAGCTCCTTGAAGCCCACAGAGCCAGGCCTGTCCACATGGTTCACTTGCCATTACAAAGCCGCTTGAAATCTGAACAGAGAGCATTAGCAATGTCTGCATCCAAGTATCCCTGGCAGGCCTCGAGAAACATTTTGCTCGGCTTAGCTGGCACTCGGCTCAGCAGCAAGTGTGTCCACTAAAAGAAACGGCATTCCAATTTGCTATTGATTTACTTTCAAATGGTATATATAAATGGCCCTTTGCAAAGATAATTACCAACATTTCTGTCCAAATAAAACCCCGGCACTTCATAAATATCAAATTGTCCTAGATCTACATATGTACCGCTTGCCCTGGCTTTTATAAATATTATACCTTGAAGACTGGATCTTCTGTTAGCGAATGCCTTTCGCGGCCCTACCCAGATGTCTGGTTTTAAACATCAATCTTTCCTGCTAAGAGTAATTCAAACAAACTTCCCTCTTACTCTCGGCCCCACGCATAAACAAAGCCGTGCCACACGCAGTCTCCAAGGAACCAGGGGAAATGTCGAAACCAAAGATGGAAAAGGCCTTTCGTTTCGTACGCAATCAAATGTCAGTCCCTAAACTGGAGAAGAGAAGGTGACGCGTTGCCATCAGTGGTGCATCTCTCCCCAAACCACTTGCATATTGTTATTTATGTCTATCAGAGGTACAGTGGTATCTTGGTTCTCAAACTTAATCCGTTCCAGAAGTCCGTTCCAAAACCAAAGCATTCCAAAACCAAGGCGTGCTTTCCCATAGAAAGTAATGCAAAATGGATTAGTCCGTTCCAGACTTTTAAAAACATCCCCTAAAACAGCAATTTAACATGAATTTTACTATCTAACAAGACCATTGATCCATAAAATGAAAGCAAGAAACAATGTACCGCAGTCACACAATCAATCAATCAGTAGCTGAACTGCGTTCCACACAGTCACGAAAAGAGCCGCAAAAAAAAAAAAGCAAAATAAATAGCAAAAACAGACAGACCTCAGCGTAACACTCAAAACGGAGCACATTTGGCTTCTGAAAAAAGTTCACAAACCAGAACACTTACTTCTCGGTTTGCAGTGTTTGGGTTCCAAGTTGTTTGAGTAGCAAGGCATTTGAGAACCAAAGTACCACTGTACAGAGTTTCAGTTTTTAATGGGGAAACAGGACATATGATATCTCTTTGGCTAAGGATGCAGGAAGCTGAACTTTTTGTCCAAGCGAAGGAAGTACTCTGCCACTGACCTGCAGCCTCTTTTCCCAAAAGTTGGCCTTGCTGATTATGGGTACAGGAACAGCCTTTCACAAAGTCAGGCTTGTGGTCCATCAAGCCCAAGGTTTTCTCGGCCCCTTCCAAAGAGGTGCTGTCTAGCCATTGCTGCCGCTTCTTCCTTTCAGTTACTACAGTATCCTATCCTGAACCAACATCTGTTCCAGCTTCGAGCTTGGCACTTGGTTTAATTATATAGATTTGCTGCTGGAATTGCATATTGCTTTAAATTACGTTGTGAACCGCCTCGACTCAGGTGTGAAGCGCCAAAAGGCAGGATGCAAATATTGTGAATAAATAAATGAGGCAGGGAACGGAAGTCTTTGCCTTCCATATTTTGTCAAAGAATTTCGTACATCCCTACTTCGAACAATGATTGTTGGTAGCAAGAATGATAAAGTTACCAGTAGCGGCATTTGCAGGCAGGAAAAACGCAATGGCTGAACCAAAATGGGACTCAAATATCTTATTTCTGATTGTTTATGTCTCTCCTCTCCACCACTGCACACCGCAGTCCCTCTAACAGAAACAAAGCTGTTTCGATTGTCTTTTATCTCCTTATTTCATTTCATTTTCAAAGGAACCTTCCGCTAAGTAACCCAACAGCTCTTCCATGCTAATAAATGCAGAGACCAAAAATGATTTTTACTTTATTTCTTTTACCTCAGGCTGCATGGAGGGGGGGCACTTTATGACTCTGACCTATTTTCACAGTAGGAGAAAAATGTCTTAGATGGACAGATGTGTTTTTTCGAAGGGGGGGGGAAATAGAGGAGGAGGACGGGAAGAAAAAGTAAGAGAGAGAAATAGAGAGAGTGTGTGTGTGTAGCATTTTCTTCCACACCCTAGGACTCTTCCGGTGCAACCTCAGCTAAATGAAAAGGCATTTCTTCTGCTGCTGATCAGTCATAACATTGAAGCCAAGGGGCTAGCCATGAAATTGTATGCATCATTTAGGGCTTTGATGCTGAACTGACTTAATAGTAAAAAATGTTTTGGCCAGGCTTTAGCCCCTGCTGTCAGAATGGAATACTGATTAAAAGGTCTCTTTCAAGGGAACTTCTCCTTGTTCACTTTTACAAAGCTGGGCAAAGATCACCCTGAGTTTTAAAAAGAAAGGGAAGAAGTAGGACTAAATATTCCTGTTATGTGGTCTAAGCACCCCACCTCCAGAATCCCAGCAAAGTGTCGCCATTTCTTCCCAGTCACTGATGCTCACAATGGCACATCTATGTATGCAGTCCATCAATGGTTCCTCTTCATCCTGGAGAAGAGTGACTAGTGGGGTGCCACAGGGTTCTGTCTTGGGCCCGGTCTTATTCAACATCTTTAGCAACGACTTGGATGATGGACTCAAGGGCATCCTGATCAAATTTGCAGATGACACCAAACTGGGAGGGGTGGCTAACACCCCAGAGGACAGGATCACACTTCAAAACGACCTTGACAGATTAGAGAACTGGGCCAAAACAAACAAGATGAACTTTAACAGGGAGAAATGTAAAGTATTGCACTTGGGCAAAAAAATGAGAGGCACAAATACAAGATGGGGACACCTGGCTTGAGAGCAGTACATGTGAAAAGGATCTAGGAGTCTTGGTTGACCACAAACTTGACATGAGCCAACAGTGTGACGCAGCAGCTAAAAAAGCCAATGCAATTCTGGGCTGCATCAATAGGAGTATAGCATCTAGATCAAGGGAAGTAATAGTGCCACTGTATTCTGCTCTGGTCAGACCTCACCTGGAGTACTGTGTCCAGTTCTGGGCACCCCAGTTCAAGAAGGACACTGACAAACTGGAACGTGTCCAGAGGAGGGCAACCAAAATGGTCAAAGGCCTGGAAACAATGCCTTATGAGGAATGGCTAAGGGAGCTGGGAGCCTGGAGAAGAGGAGGTTAAGGGGTGATACGATAGCCATGTTCAAATATATAAAAGGATGTCACATAGAGGAGGGAGAAAGGTTGTTTTCTGCTGCTCCAGAGAAGCGGACACGGAGCAATGGATCCAAACTACAAGAAAGAAGATTCCACCTAAACATTAGGAAGAACTTCCTGACAGTAAGAGCTGTTCGACAGTGGAATTTGCTGCCAAGGAGTGTGGTGGAGTCTCCTTCTTTGGAGGTCTTTAAGCAGAGGCTTGACAACCATATGTCAGGAGTGCTCTGATGGTGTTTCCTGCTTGGCAGGGGGTTGGACTCGATGGCCCTTGTGGTCTCTTCCAACTCTATGATTCTATGATTCTATGATTCTATTCTAAAGCCTTCCCTTCATGCTGACAGCGCTTACTCCTTTTCAATATGGCCAAAAATTCAGCTTGCAGTGCCAAAGATTTTGGGGAGCATTAAAAAGAGAGAGAGAGACTTATGATACGCATTTTATGAAGACTGCACCTGTTTATATAGGCAGTCCCTTGATCTGTCGACAGAACTCTCCGGTTTTCATTGCAGTGTTATCCTGATGGGGATTGGTTTATTGTATGTTTTGATTATGGATGCTTATATCTATATTTATAATATTTATTTATTACCTGCCCTTCACTCTAAGGTCCCAAGGTGGGTTAAGGTATTAAAACACAATATTTAAAGCAATCATAAACATAGGGTGGGTCCTTAAAACATACACCTCAAGTGTCAAGACATTAATGTTTGTTGGGTTTTATGTACAGTAGTACCTTCGGTTACGTAACCCTCTGGTTACGTAAACTTTGGGATGTGAAAGCGGCAAACCCGGAAGTATTTTACAGGGTTTTGCCACATGTGCATGCGCAGAAGCGGTCCTCAGGTTGCGGAAACCTTGGGATCCAACTGGACCTCTGGAACGGATCCTGTCCGCAACCGGAGGTACCACTGTACTTTATAAGCCACTACTTTGTAAGCCCATTTTGACATTAATCAGTAGATGATGATGAAGAAGAATGTACAGTGGAACCTCATGTTACGGATGGGATCTGTCCCAGAGGCCTGTCCGTAACACGGAACTGAAGCAAGCCGAAGTGTCATGTCTGCGCACGCGCACAGCACAATTTAGTGCTTCTGTGCATGCGTGAGCAGCGAAACCTGGAAGTAACCCGTTCCAGTACTTCTGGGTTGCCGTGGGACGCAACACGAAAACATGTAACCTGAAGCGGACACAACATGAGGTATGACTGTATTATATTTATGTATATCCTACCTTTCACAATTGCCTTAAGGAGGCTAACAATAGACACACGTGCATTGCAAAAAAAAAGGCTGTTTAGGTGCTCTAAATTATGATATTAATATCATGTGGGGCAAGAGGGGGAACAACAACTACTGGCCTCACATCCCAAGTGACCATACATCCACACATTGAGGGGGAAGGTCTGTGATTGAGAACCCCCTGTGACAGGCTCCCCGCTTCATCCCGCCCCCTAACTCATGGGCAGCAGTAGTGGGGCTGGCAGGGGACATATGGCTGGGGTCATTGGGATGGCCTTACTTTCCTACTCCATGTGATGTTAATTGTGTGGTTTAGACTGTCTGGACAGGGCTAATAAAATGAGCGTAATATCAAACTATCAACTGCAAATTTGAAAGGCAGCAGTCAAAAAAGAGGAACAGATTGCACAGAGTACATATAATGCCATTATAAGGCCATGAGTGATATATTCTGCTTTCTCATAAACTGCTGGTCTCCACGCTTAAGCTCCATCATAGGACCCACCTGGGCACCAGAATATTTTTATCTCAAGTGTTCGCAGCCCTGATTTAGTACAGTGTGCATTATCTTCCATTCCCGATCCATTAATGAAAGAGAAAATTCTGCTTGAGGAATGGAACGTCCCCATTTTCTCCTCTTTCCTGGAGCCCCTTTCATGCCCTCAAAAAGAGGAATTAGGAGCAGATTTGTGGGGGAGTTCAGAGGAAAGTGAGGAAGGGGGAATCCAGTTGCGCGAGCAGAAATACCACCCACTGTTCCAGAATTTTGTGAGCTGCAAACCACAGACCTACAGTCAACCCCTGTGAGTATCATCCGGCTGCTGGCTCCAACAGGGGGATCATTGGAGCAGTGGTTCAGGACTTCGTAGATGATTTAGAGTTGCATAAGATTCCCTGATCTATAGCATAACCAGAATCTCCCACAAGACAATTTTAGCAGTGCTGGGGCTCCAGCCAATCTATCTAGTGTTGAGTTGTCAGTCTAGAGATGGAGGACAAATCTGATCAGTTTGGATTTAAAGGCAAACTCACATTTCCCAAAACAATGCATAAATATAAACATAGCCATTGTTCAAAATTCGCACTTCTCTGAATTTTGCAATGCAGTTCTCCAGCCAAGTAATGTGTACAAAAATGCACACACTGGTGCAAATTGTGCATTTCAATGCATGTATTAGTGGAAATAACATAGACAGATGCATTACATTAGGGGATTTTTTTGCAAAAATGTGTGTATTGGGCAAAATTGCATACAAAAATGAGAATATTGGGAGAAATTCACACTAAAATGATGATGAATTTTCACGGGCCCTTTTCTTAAAGCAAAATGATGTGGCAATGTGAAGAATTGAAGACTGGAAAAATGAGGAATGGAGAGCAGCTCAAATCGGCATATTCACCCATCCTAGTTGTCACTAGCACAGTGTAAGATTAATTGGCTCAAATCCTCAGCAATAGCCAAACAAATTAAAGCAGTTTAAATCCAAGTAGGTCGTCTTAACTCAGGCATGTCCAAAGTCTGTATGTTTTGGGGGCCCAATCCGGCCCACCGGCCTATTTAATCCGGCCCCTGTAGCAGTTTACTTCCTGGGGTAAAATCATAAAAAAGCTTAACAACTTCAATCCTAGAAAAAGGTCAACAACTCTGGTTGGCCCTCATGGGCCTTCACTTCATCAAATCTGGCCCTCTTTGGAAAAAGTTTGGACACCACTGTCTTAACTGATGGACACGGTTCAGATTGCCAGACCTTAAACTTTATTATGAATCAGCTGCTTTTGCTGGCTGAGAGAATGGCTGCTTCTTGAAAACACTGACGTGTTGGATCTAGAAGGTTTTAATAATGCATTTGGCTGGCATGCTTATTTGTGGTACGATAAGGTAAAAGCACATCAAGCGTTTAAAAATCATATTGTTAGAAAAGCATTGTTTAATGTGTGGATAAGATATAAGGATTTGTTAGAAAAGAAAACCCCAAGATGGTTGTCACCAATGGAAGTGAAGGCACAGAAAAAACTCAATATGGAGGCCAAATGGCCGAAATATTGGGAAATTTTGGAATAAGATGGAGACAGAATAAAATTGCAGAGCTTTGAAAAATTGAAAAACAGAGTGCGAGATTGGCTCCATTATTACCAAATAATGGAGGCATACAATTTGGACAAAAAAGTTGCTTTCCAGGTGGAAAAATCAAAATTGGAAACAGAATTATTAGATCCAAAAATTAAGAATTTGTCAAGAATGTATAACTTGCTGTTGAAATGGAATACTCAGGATGAAATGGTGAAATCAGCTATGATTAAATGGGCACAAGATGTTGGACATAACATAATGATGGCTGACTGGGAACAGTTATGGACCACAGGTATGAAATTCACGGCATGTAATGCCCTAAGAGAAAACTTAATGAAAATGATTTATAGGTGGTACATGACACCAGTCAAGCTTGCAAAAATCTACCATTTGCCCGATAATAAATGTTGGAAATGTAATGAGACTGAAGGTACATTCTTTCACCTTTGGTGGACATGCCCAAGGATTAAGACATTCTGGGAGATGATTTATAACGAAATGAAAAAGGTATTCAAATATACCTTCCTGAAGAAACCAGAGGCCTTTCTCCTGGGCATGGTCAGCCAATTGGTGCCAAAGAAGGATAGAACTTTTTTTATGTATGCAACAACAGTATTGGAAGACACAAGATTTACCCACCCGGGAAGAATGGCAGATGAAGTTGATGGACTATATGGAACTGGCGGAAATGACTGGCAGAATCCGAGACCAGGGAGAAGAGTCGGTGGAAGAAGACTGGAAAAAGTTTAAAGACTATTTACAGAAATACTGCAAAATTAATGAATGTTAGAAGAATGTTGGAATGAAATTATATGGCTTTAGTAGAAATGTTATAAGGAATTAAGTATAAATAGATTAATAGAATGTTAAAGGGGAAAAATAAGGTTAGAATGTTAAGATAATTTTAGGATAGAAAACAGAGGAAGATGGAAAGGAATTGCTGAAATAATTAACAGAAGTGGAATACAAAAAGGGAGGTGTGAGGAGGTCGTTGAAATAAGTGAATGAAAGATAAGATATTGAAATTATTTGATGTGTTTTAAATTGCTTTTGCTTTGTTTATTTAGTGTTTTGTGTTAGTGTTATGTAGTGTTTTTGCATTGTATTGTATTGTCTATTCTTTTTTTTGTTTTTTGTAGTGTTTAAATTGTTGGAAAAGCAATAAATATTATTTTAAAAAAACAAAAAAAAGATTGCCAACTAGGAAAAGTCTACTAAACATCTAACAGCTCAAACCTATGTATGTCTACTCAGAAGTAAGTCTGGTTCATTTCAGCAGACTTATTCTCAGAAATTGTGCATAGGGTTGAAGTGCAGTCGAACTACCCAGTAGTTATAAAAAAAATAACAGAAGCTTTTCTTTTGGGAATTGTAGGGACAGAACTACCTAAAATGTATAGAAACTTATTCGTGTACATTCGTCTACAGCAGCAGGAATGTTACTTGCCAACAAAAATGGAAATATGGATACAAAAACGTATGGAATATGCAGAAATGGCGAAACTTACCGGAAGAATAAGAAATCAAGATAACTTTTTTTTTTTACAATAAAATGGAAATGGTTTATTGAATATTTACAGATAAATTATGAACAGATAAAAACATCGCCAGGATTATTGTAATAACCTGCAGTTTTATAAGAGTATATATTTAAAGAAGATGAATAAACGAGCAAATTAAGTTAATCTGGATATGCGGAAGATATTAAAAACAAATTTAAGGTACTGCGGAAAGAGGGGGAAGGAAGTCAAGTTCTGAAATGTCAAAATGATTGTAAAATTAGTGAAATGTATAAACTTGAAAAGTATAAATAAATAAATAAGTCCAAAAGTCAGAACCCAGGTGTTATTTTATTTTATTTTCATACTTATCACATCCTTCCTTAGGAACGGCCTTTGAGTGGCTTGCATAGACATCTCAGAGGTCTCCCATTGAACACGCCCACATCCCTCAACTCAGGGATGGGGAAACTGTGGCCCTCCTGGGGCTGCTGGACTCCAGCTCCCATCAGCCCCATCCAGCACGGTCGATGATCAGGGATGATGGGACACATAGTCCAGCGACATCGCAATTCTCCAACCCTCCTGCCTTTCCTCAAGCAGTTTGTGGTTCTCAAGTTCTTTAAGGGCAAAAGTGGGTGGGCCAATGAAGGTAAGGATTGTCTTCGTATGGTGCAACGGTTTCTACACATATCTCCAACCAGGCAAGCAAAGAGGCATTTCCAGGTGATGTGATAGGTAGATATAGATATAGTCACAGTTGCAGTCAAAATTATTTAACCCCCAATTCAAATCAGGTTTATTATCAAAATTTACAGACTTTCCCTAGGGGATTCCACTGCCTCAGTCTGCATCATGAACGGGTACTGCTACTGTGGCTTGGGCCTTGGCATGGGCCAGTGGTGCACCTTGGGGTCTCAAATTTCAGCAGCGCCCTGTGCGATGCCAGAACCCCCACCTGTCTCTCTCTCTCTCTCTCTCTCTCTCTCTCTCTCTCTCTCTCTCTCTTGCTTTTTTAAAAAATTATTATCTTTATTGCAAAACATACAGCACAAACAGACAAAAACAATACCACAAAAACAACTAAACCTTAATTCACTACACATCATTTAACATCACACACATTTTTGACTTCCAATTCACCTCGTTGTGCTTTCTAAATATTCTTAGCCTATACGCACTTCCTTTTATATCCATTACACATCAAGAAAAAAAAATACGTTTATAATTTTCTTTAATATTCAAGATTCAATCTATACCTGTCAGGAGTTTTGCATTTTCACAATATTGCTTTAAATATTCTTTAAATATTGTCCATTCTTTGCTCACTTTCTGATTTGAGCTTCCTCTTATTCTCCCAGTCATTTTCGCGAGTTCCAGGTATTCTATCATCTTCACCTGCTGGTCAAGCTTTGTAGGAATTAAGTCCCCTTTCTGATTTTTTGCTACCAGAATTCTGGCTGCTGTGGTTGCATACATAAAGATGGTTCTAAAGTTGATTTTTTTATTTCAGTGGACATAATGCCTAACAGAAAGGCTTCTGGGGTTTGTTTGTTTTTTTAAAAGAGAATTTAAAGATCCTTTTGAGTTTGTTGTATATTATGTCCCAAAATTCTCATATCCTCACACAGTCCCACCACATGTGCATTAAGCACCCCCACCTCTTGCCTTCCATCATAGCTGCAGCGCCCCCTACAGCACCCCTGAGGCTCCACACCCAGTGCAAGTGAACCAGTTGCACACCCCTAAGTCCGCCTCTGCATGGGCCTAACAATACCGCTGGACCTAGTCTGTACAAATAAAATGGGGAAGAAGGCCAGAGGGAAGAACATAGTAATAATAATAATAATAATAATAATAATAATAATAATAATAATTTATTATTTATACCCCGCCCATCTAGCTGGGTTTCCCCAGCCACTCTGGGCGGCTTCCAACTGAATATTAAAAACAATACAGCATCAGACATTAAAAACATCCCTAAACAGGGCCGCCTTCAGTTGTCTTTTAAAAGTAAAATAGTTGTTTATTGCCTTGACATCTGCTGGGAGGGCGTTCCACAGGGCGGGTGCCACTACCAAGAAGGCCCTCTGCCTGTAACCTTACCTTTTGCAATGTGGGAACTGCTAGAAGGCCCTTGGAGCTGGACCTCAATGTCCGGGCAGAACGATGGGGGTGGAGATGCTCCTTCAGGTATACTGGGCTGAGGCCGTTTAGGGCTTTAAAGGTCAGCACCAACACTTTGAATTGTGCTCGGAAACGTACTGGGAAACTGGGAAAGCACAACAGAGAACCCCAGAGGTGAGAAATCACATGTTGATTTGAAATAAAACAGCCTGGCTTTAACTCTCCAAACACACCCCTCCACACACACCAACTTGCTTTTATCCTAAGGGGTTCTTTTGCTTAATGCATCATTTTCTTCAGTGGCAGTGAAGTTTAGATTAGATTGAGCTAAAACCTGACAAGGTCCGCTCATAGGAAACACCCAGACTCTTTGCAGATACTGTCTTGCTTTCTGTTCCCCAAGTCGCTCTGAGCAGTGGGAGCCGCAAGGCAGATTGCATTTGACCACCAGTTTGGCAGGTGCCACAGTGGCCTCTAGTGGCTGTTGGGTGTAAGCGCAGCCCACAAGAGCTTGGGAGGCACAGATCTCCGATTGTGCCAATGGTATCTACGGTGCAGTGCTCAGGCAGCATATGGGAGTATACATTAGGAAGTTGGCCACATCCTGTCTCAGCATTTCAGCCCATGCCTTTGTCATTCTCTATGTACTGGTTGGATTTGTTAAGTTACATACCACTTGGTTGCAATAAAACTTCTAAGCAGACATTGGGCATACCAAGGGCCGTCGGAGTGCAAAGATTTGCCCAGCGCCCCAAATTTAGTTTAAAGGTAAAGGTAAAGGTAAAGGGACCCCTGACCATTAGGTCCAGTCATGGCCAACTCTGGGATTGCGGAACTCATCTCGCTTTATTGGCCGAGGGAGCCAGCATACAGCTTCCGGGTCATGTGGCCAGCATGACTAAGCCGCTTCTGGCGAACCAGAGCAGTGCACGGAGACGCCGTTTACCTTCCCGCCGGAGCGGTACCAATTTATCTACTTGCACTTTGACGTGCTTTCAAACTGCTAGGTTGGCAGGAGCAGGGACCAAGCAATGGGAGCTCACCCCGTCGTGGGGATTCGAACCGCCGACCTTCTGATCGGCAAGTCCTAATTTAGTTTAGCTGCCCCCAAATTAACTTTTATTGAGCTTTTTTTAGGGGGGGAGCAAACTCAAAGTTGTTGAGCTTTTTTAGGGGGGGAGTTGCTCACCTATAACGACAACTCGTCGGGCTACAGAGTAACAGAGGAGGAGGAGGCAGGGACTTTCACTCCATTGCTTTTCACATACAGCAAGTATGCATTTGGCGCCCTCCGAAATTCGGCGCCCGGGTGCCCCATACCGCTTGCACCCCCAGGTAAAGACGGCCCTGTGTATACCTCTTGAATGTAAGCCAGTATGCTTTGCATTTGTGTACTGCAAGCTATACTTCTTGGGTTGGTTATTTGCGCTCCCCTTTCACCCTTCCGCACTGACCTTTTGGGAACTGACTATCACATCATTGTGCTGTGGTGCAGCGAATCTGGATTTGTGATACACAAGTTTGCACGTTTATTGCTAGGAGAAAACGTGTTTTCTTGGCTGACTGAGAGAATGGTATGAATAATGAGTAGAAGGAGTAATCGCAGTGTCCTTCAAAGATACCAGTTTTTTTATTCATTCCCCCCCCCCCCACATCAAGATGGCTGTATCATGTAGCCACAGACCTACACTGGGGCAGAGACTAGGCAGTCATGAACTGCTATAAACTCCACCCACTGTGACTCTGGCTCTGTCCATCATTGGCCGCAGACCTGGGTTGACTTTCTCTGTGGGTCAATGGCCCTTCAAAGGAAAAAGATGCTAAACCTTTCCTGATGTGCTCCCCCAAAACCCTCCCTCCCCACTCAAGAAACAGGATGTGTTCATCTTTCTCCCTTAAGCAAATGGAGCAGGGATACTATCTTCTGAGAGTATTCTAAATTGATATCTAGTAATTTCTAAGGCAATTCAAAATGCCTAATGAAAAGTCACTTCGGGCCACTGGGAAAAAAATAAATACATTGTTATTGATCATGCAATAAGGTATTAGGCTAATTTAATAAGCCTCTCTTGGAGATGTACTTAATTCACCAATATTGTCATTTCTGTGCAGTGGGAAAGGTTGCTGGTTAAATGGGTGTTCTGGAAGCTGAGTGAAGTGCTTTGTAATTACTGGAGTTCAATACTGCTGCCTAGACATTGTGTTGTTTTCCCTGGCCTTGATTTCCCCCACACCCTATATGGCGTATGCTTAGATTCTTAATACTGCCTGTTTTAAGCTTCATCAATCCTGAAATTACCATTTTCTTCTGTATTCTCCCCCTTAGTCAGAAGAGCACTGCTGTAAAGTTTTTTGAGAGCACATCAGGAAAGGTTTAGCATCGGCATTGGTCAAAGCAGATTGTACTTTGGGGAACCGAGCAATGTGAAATTGCTTGGCTTTTGTGAATTAGAATACAGATGCAGAATAATCCTGAGGTATCCTTGCAAGAGGGACACGAGTGGCGCTGTGAGTTAAACCACAGAGCCTAGGACTTGCTGATCAGAAGGTCAGTGGTTCGAATCCCCGCGACGGGGTGAGCTCCCGTTGCTCAGTCCCTGCTCCTGCCAACCTAGCAGTTCAAAAGTATGTCAAAGTGCAAGTAGATAAATAGGTACTGCTCTGGCGGGAAGGTAAACGGCGTTTCCGTGTGCTGCTCTGGTTCGCCAGAAGTGGCTTAGTCATGCTGGTCACATGACCCCGAAGCTGTACGCCGGCTCCCTTGGCCAATAAAGCGAGATGAGCGCCACAACCCCAGAGTCGGCCACGACTGGACCTAACGGTCAGGGGTCCCTTTACCTTTATCCTTGCAAGAGGCATCAAAGGAACATCATCTCATTCTATCCAATAGTGCTTCTAACCCTGATGGATATGTTCTACCTCCCCTGTCAGAGGCAGTAATGCTTCTGAATCCCAGTTGCTGGAAACCACAGGACAGGAGAGTACTGCTGTGCTGAGGTCCTGCTTCTGGGTTTCCCACAGGCAACTGGCTAGCCACTGTGAGAACAGGATGGTGGGCTAGATGAGCCATTTGCCTGATCTATCTGACTCTTCTGCTTTTGAATTATGGTGCTGGAGGAGACTCTTGAGAGTCCCATGAACTGCAAGAAGATCAAACCTATCCATTCTTAAGGAAACCATCCCTGAGTGCTCACTGGAAGGACAGATCCTGAAGCTGAGGCTCCAATACTCTGGCCACCTCATGAGAAGAGAAGACTCTCTGGAAAAGACCCTGATGTTTTGGAAGACTGAGGGCACAAGGAGAAGGAGACGACAGAGGACGAGATGGTTGGACTGTGTTCTCGAAGCTACAAACATGAGTCTGACCAAACTGCGGGAGGCAGTGAAAGACAGGAGTGCCTGGCGTGCTCTGGTCCATGGGGTCACGAAGAGTCGGACACGACTAAACGACTAAACAACAACAAATCAGACTCTTCTTATGTTCTCATGTTCTTGAATTAAAAGGGTTGACGTTCTATTTTTCCCCCCAAAAAAATTTATTCATTTTATAACACAAATAAAGAACACCAAAAAACACAATACAAACAAATTCTTGTCATATCCTTATTTTTCTAAACATTGTTAAGTGGGCTTCCCCAGGTCCCACCTATTTGATTTTCATTTCACTCCATCTTTAGCAGTTTACATATATCATAGTTTCTAACCATCTTTTTTTTAATCACACTTCACATTTTCTCACTTACAAATAATACTATTTTAAAACACACCATCTTCTACTTCTAACCCTATGGCCTATATCCACTTCCAAAGCTATTCTAAGATTTAAATATTAACATTTTTTTTCAAATATTCCTTAAACTTCTTCCACCATCTCTTCTCTCTGGTCTCGGAGTCTCCCGGTCAGTTCGGCAAGTTCTGTATAGTCCATCATCTTCATCTGCCGTTCTTCGATAGGTGGTAAATCTTGTTTCTTCCAATTCTTCGCTAGCAATATTCTCGCAGCTGTTGTGGCATACAGGGGAAAAAAAACATCCTTTTCTGGGATTTCACTCCCCACTATACCAAGTAAAAATGCTTCTGGTTTTTTTAATAAATGTGTTTCTCAACACTTTTTTAAAAGGGTTGACATTCTAAAGGCAGCTGGTCCACGATGTTCTCACGCTGACCCAGCTAACTCTTGCTGGCGTCAGGATTGTGTTGCTGGAACAATGATCCCACTTCTCTTCACCCCCTTCCCATACCTGGCAGGGCCACGCCATGCCTAACAACATAATAAGATCCCTTTTGGATCAGACCAAAGCTCCATCCAGCCCAAGCATCTTGTCTTCAACCAGATGCTTATGGGAAGCCAACAAGCAGGACCTGAGGACAACCTGAGTTCTTCCCAATTCTGATTGTGTGGTGAGTTCCTGCCTCCCCCCGGTGGAAATAAAGACACGTGACACAATCATTTAAGGTTAATGGGCTAAAATAGCCACAACTTTATTGGTTGCAGGTACAGTGGTGCCTCGCAAGACGAAATTAATTCGTTCCGTGAATTTTTTCGTCTAGCGAATTTTTCGACTTGCGAAGCACGAAATCCCATAGGAATGCATTGAAAATCAATTAATGCGTTCCTATGGTCAAAAAAAGTCCAAACAAAGCCAAATTTGGTACAACAAGAGTTTATTAAGTGCTCTTTAAAGTCACACATACTGTAAAGAGCATTTCAAAATTCAAACCCAGAATTTTTTTTAAAAAACAGCAGAGTGCCCCAATGGTCACAGAAAATCATAAAAATGCAGAAAAAAACACACAAGCTTCCAGATTCTTGCAAACCCCTCCCCAACACCAAGTCCTTGAATTCCAAACACCCCAACCCAAAATCCAAAACCCCCCCAAAAAGTTTTAAAAGCTTAACTTACCAAATGGCTGCAAAAGAAGTTTTGGAAAAGCTTCAAAAATCACCAAAGTCTTTAAAAACCTCAAAAAGGCTACTATGTGCACTGTGTTCTATGAGTTGCTCCTCGAAGTCAAGTCGCAACTGTATTAACGGTGTTAAGAAAATGGAAACAAACTTGCAAGACGTTTTCGTCTTGCGAAGCAAGCCCATAGGGAAATTCGTCTTGCGAAGCAGCTCAAAAAACGGAAAACCCTTTCGTCTAGCGAGTTTTCCGTCTTGCAAGGCATTCGTCTTGCGGGGCACAACTGTAATGAGCAGTATTGGCTTAGGCATTGGTCCTAATCAACTCTCCAGCTTCAGCCTGTTTGCTTGAAGTCCGGGAAGGGTTAGCCACCAGTAGGGGGAGACCTGCTGATACACATCAACTAGGAACTCCCCCGGGGTCACCACTCGGGGGCGTGCCTTGGGCCCTCACCTCCATAGGTTTCGGACAAGGCCACACCCCCCGGAATCCTTTACCGGACTACCCTTCAACATGCGCTGAGGCGGCAAAAGAGGGCGATCCCCGGCCGCGCCAGTGTATTATAGTATAAGCCACGCCCCCCCAGGCCAGCTGATTGGCTGGCTTGGGGATGACGCGACCGGGGATTCCCTCAATCCCCTGAGAGCCAGCCCCCGCACACGTGGAGGGGGCATGAAGCCCGCAACTCCACCTCCTCTCAAGTTCGGAAGTGGCTTTCCCAGCGACTGTCATTCAGAGAGACCTACTGCCTCTGACACAGAAGGGAGAAATATAGCCCTCATGCCCAGTATCCACTGGTAGCCCTATCCTCCCTGAATTTGTCTAATTCTCTTTAAAGCCATCGAGTTGGTGGCCATCATCTACAACTTATGGGAGGGAATAAGGACAGAAAAAGAGAACATAAGAAGGTAAAGGGCAAGAATCCCACCCATTCCCATCTGAAAAGCTTACCAAGTTGGTTGCGTGCCCCCCTTTTAACTTAATTTTTCAGTTTCTAAAAATGCAAGTAGTCCGCAACCCCCTAGAAACATTCCACTCATATACAATGCAACTAATAGTCAAGTATTAAGCAAGTGTGTACATAATTTAATGTTGATTACATCAGTTAGTTGTCTTCCAGTCTTTGTCTTGACCGATGGTCCCAGAGAGAAGCATGGGTAGCTGGTTGTGAAGGTACAACATTGTCCTTTCCAGTTTACTAAATAAATATGTACCATACAGTTTCAAAATAATATTTGGTCTTTGTGTTCCTCAGCACTCTAAGATGCTTCGTTAGTTTCTCCATAACAGTCTATCCCACCATGCCTCTGGGCTTAAGTTAGTAGCAGTTTTCACAATACTGGGTTAATATATTTCTAGCTGCAGACACACACAAAATATTTGCAGGTCATTACATAGCACCAAACTGGCTGCTGAGTCCTATTTCAACATTGTTGATGGAGCAAGCTCGCACAACTCTGCCCTTCAGTGCCTTGCCATTGCTCCCTGCTGCTCATCACCACCTGCCGCCTAAGGCAGCCATCTCACCCTGCCCAATGTTACGGCTGACCCTTGGCAGAAACACTTCAGGAACTGAACCAGGAGCAATACAGATCAGGAGATGGTGGATCGGGTTTTAAGGGTGCACAGGAAACTGCAGGAGAGAGGAAAGGAGGGGGAAGTTCTGTTATGCAAGCAGAGATCTGCTCCGTAAGTGTTAGATACATCCCGTAGTAAAGGTAAGGTAAAGGGACCTCTGACCATTAGGTCCAGTCGTGGCTGACTCCGGGGTTGCTCATCTCACTTTATTGGCCGAGGGAGCCAGCATACAGCTTCCGGGTCATGTAGCCAGCATGACTAAGCCACTTCTGGCGAACCAGAGCAGCGCATGGAAACGCCGTTTACCTTCCCGCCAGAGTGGTACCTATTTATCTACTTGCACTTCACTTTGACGTGCTTTCGAACTGCTAGGTTGGCAGGAGCAGGGACCGAGCAACGGGAGCTCACCCTGTCGCAGGGATTTGAACCGCCGACCTTCTGATCGGCAAGTCCTAGGCTCTGTGGTTTAATCCACAGCTCCACCCACTTCCCACACATCCCGTAGTAACTCCTTCTAAATGTCCATCTATACATAAATATTAGTACACACACATCTTATGCAAACGAGTGCCCTCTGATTATGATGCAATTTTAGCGACACAGAAGTGGTTATCCTACCTACAGCTCTATCCTCATAGAAACCCTCTTTTGAAAACAATTTAGGAACATAAGAAGATCCTGCTACATCAGACCAATGGCCCATCTCGTCCAGCATCCTGTTTTCACAGTGGCCAAGCAGATGTCTGTGGGAAATCCACAAGCATGATTCAAGCTCAAGACAACTCTCCTCTCCTGAGGTTCTCAACAACTGGTGTTTAGGTTTCTCAATGATGTGGATCGAAGAGTTCCACTGACAGAAGGCACTTTCTGCAAGCAGAATGTGTCTCCTCCATTGGGGGAAGACTTCTTCCACTGGAGGAAACTCCTTCTTCCAGAAGAAAGATTCAACCTTCGGATCCAACCCGTTGTATATTTTCTGTGCCTTTGTCTCTAACTTGGAAATAATGGCGCTGGATTGACCAACAGATAACCCTTCTCCATCATGAGTAACACAGGCGAGTATATCTTTCATGCATTTTTTTGCTTTATTCAACAGTTTTTTGCCAGCGTGACCTTACTCTATTAATGTTAAGTCAGATTAATTAAAGTCATCAGGGTGTTCTTCCCACACTCTTGCTGACACACAGCTTGCTTGAAAAACGACTCTCATTGATTCATCTTTCATGACCTACAGAATTACATGTTGTCACTTTGTGTGTTTTTTATGAGCCTTTCTATATATTGTATATTAAAATATATTTATATATTAAAATATATAAATTTTCACCAACTTTGCAAAAGTGAACAGCTGTTTTACTGTCCATGCCTAGGTAGGGCTGCTGGTGATTAAAGGAATTCATGGAGGCAGAGAAGAAATGAACACACAATGGATCCAGAAATTATAATAATAATAATAATTTATTATTTATACCCCGCCCATCTGGCTGGGTTTCCCCAGCCACTCTGGGTGGCTTCCAACTGAATATTAAAAACAATACAGCATTAGACATTAAAAACTTCCTTAAAGAGGGCTGCCTTCAGTTGTCTTTTAAAAGTAAAATAGTTGTTTATTGCCTTGACATCTGCTGGGAGGGCGTTCCACAGGGCAGGCGCCACCACCGAGAAGGCCCTCTGCCTGGTTCCCTGTAACCTTACTTCTTGCAATGAGGGAACTGCCAGAAGGCCCTCGGCGCTGGATCTCAGTGTCTGGGCTGAACGA